GAACTTGTCTCGAAGACATTCTGAACAATGCAATTGCCACATTTCAGTTAATAATTGCACTTGGCCCGCGGGGCGTAAAGGCGGCAACGACTTTGAACACATTTTGGCAGCGCTTCTGCGGCAAGCAATTATTAATGGCCATGTTAACAGCAGAATCCGTGGCATCAGACAATATCTGGGATCAGTGTTGGTTTCGGGATGGAGATGGGCCTGAAGCTGGGTATTTGGGATTGGGCAGAAAAGTTTGCGGCTGTCAGGCGGATTGAAGGACATGCCAATGAAAGTCCCGCCTCAATCAGATGGAACCCTTTTGGTTTAGAATGGACTAGGATGGGCACAACAAACAAATCTTGGCTGTCACGGGTCCTCCGCCACAGTCGGCATTCAATTCCAGAGTGAATGGTGAGCGGGGGACAGGGGATTCTGGGCGTGCTATTACGTGTGTGAATGGGAGTGTGACTGTGGAATCTCGCACGTTAGTTGGCCAGCTTGTTGCGGATATGAAACATATCTCCGGTTAGCAGGCAGGACATTTCCGCTGGCCCAATCCCAGTCCCAGTGCACCCCATTCAGCTGTCATAAATCGCACGTTCGAGAGTTGGGATTTGCGGCCGGATATTGCCCAAAAGGATACGCGCTGCCCGCTCGACTGTGTAACAACTTGATGGGCATTTGAATGCAGCCTCGTGTCATTTAGTTGCCACAAAGAACTGCTCTCGTTTACCCTCTTTCACTCCCATTCCCATACCCAATACCATTCCTTTGCCATTCCCCTTGAATTATCCGGCCGAACATTTCAATCGAGTGGCCCAAAGTGAGACACCTGACACTTAAGCGCCAGGATCGTTGGGTTTTCCCAGGGATCCGGGTCTGCGGGATGATGAGCATCCAGGCAAAGGCATCCATCCCGGCATCCGCTGGCCGAAGGCGTTCGTCTGACAAATGAGACAAAGTGACACAAGTCAATCAAAGGCCACGAAAATGCGCCGCTTATAAATTCCATTCGATTGCCTCTGACGCGACCCAATTTACTGCCCACTGCAGTCAGAGAAAATCTTAGTTAAAAGGTAATAAAACTCTTTGGATTATGCAACTTAATATTTTATAAATGGGTTTCTAAAAAATCTTGTTTAAGAAAGTAATAACTAAACATATTTACTTTAAAATATTGCCAGAAATATTTCCATTAAACTCAACAGTTTCTTGAATTATCTCAAACCTTATCCTATTGTAGTATTCACTATTTTTTCGAGTGTCCTAAATCACCGGGGCAACGATGCGAGTGGGCCCCATCTCTGGCCCCTTGGGGCCGAAATGTATTTAAATGAATTCCGTCAGCGTCAGGCGGCGGCCCCGAGTTCAGCCAAAGTGATGGACGCATTTAAACTGTCAATACGCATCCAGCTCAGATGCCCTTCTCCAGCCTCGCCAGGAGCAGACCAAGACGACGACGACGACGACGAGCTGAAGTGGCGGAGACAATGAATCCTGTCAAATCAAGGCGACGCGAGAAACGCGCAGATATTCAGAATCCAGCAGCCCAGTATCCTCAGTATGCAGTATCCGCCAGATAGCCGATAAGAAGGACCGCCAGCCGCCGACCACCGTCCCTTTACTTCCGAGGGGGCGGGGCAACCACTCAGGTTGCCAAATCCATTAGAGTTAAATAAATTTTGATTTTGAATTCAATTTGCGAGTTAACTAGGTGGAGATGAGCGTTGGCTTGTCCAGCCGCCCAAGTGGGTGGGTTATAAAGTTGTGCGGGATGGTCTTCTTACTGTAAAAAGGGGGGAACAAAGGAAGGGAGCTTCAAATTAAGGTTTCCTAATAAAAAAATATAACACTAAATACTACTTAAAAAGAGTTTTAAATGCCAAAGAAATATAATGTAAATGATACAGAATTAATTTTAAAAGTTTATTAAAGATAATCTTTCTTAATAAAATGTCATGAATGTCCTTGAGCTACCGAATTTTATTAAAAAGTTGGCCTTTTGAACAAACTATATTATATACATTAATTTCTACATCTGTTGAACTTTGCCATTAAAACTTATCAAATATTTCTGAGGTTTGTTAAACTATAATTTTAGTCTAAACTTTCGCTCAAGCTACCCTCGTCAGGTATTTCGGTGCCCATTATTTTGCAGCTCAGCGATTTAAAAGTTCAAAGCAGACGTCGTTTTCCAGAGGCGCTTGAAGAAGTTTAGTTTTTTTGAAAGGGATTTAAGATTGGATTTACAAAAGAAGTCTTCTTTTATAGTTAATAATTTAACATAATAATAGTTATTAAAAAATATTAAACTAAATCTGACGAGAAAGTTAACTAACCTATCCTATGATTCTATGACAATTTACAAGGGTTTCCAAAAGATCGGCTTTCCCGAAGTTAGTTTACTTCCTTGTTTACAATTTTAATTAACCCTTTGTGAATTTCGAGCCCCCGAAAAGCGTCCTTTGCACCCCTTGACTCACACCCATGGCTGACATCTCTGGAGCGGCGAGCAAGGACAGGCGGCGAGCCGGCGACAAGTGATGAGTGAATGCAAAGAATTTGAATATTGTGCCGCCGCGGCAGTTGACATAAATCGTCAATGACAGCAACATCGCCTCCTTTTGGCCTTAAACACGCAACCGGGGACGAAGGGATCTGGCTGGGGCTTGGGCATGGATCCAGGGACGGACTGGCGATGGGTTTTAGGGATCGGGAATGGGAATGGGTTTTGGGAGTGCAAGTCCATAGAACACGACAGACAACTGTAATCCGCGACCTATTGTATCGAGGATGATTGCTCGCGGGTCCGTTTGGGCCTGTCAGCGGCTTTCAAAATCAATTCTAATCGATTTGGGATACTTTGACAGCGCTTATTGGCAGCGTGCGCGTGGCCGCGATACCAAAAACACACAGAGCCCCAAAACACCTTTGCCGAAAAATATTTCAGTTCAGTTTCAATCAGAGCGAAATGTCAACAGTATTTTTGGTTTAAAATAACCAGGGGAAAAAATTAAGCAGAGACTGTGAGAAAGTGTTGTCAAGTAATTATTTAAAGAAATAAATAACAAATTTTAACTGACTTTAATATAATTCTAAAATAAAAATATAATATAATAATATTATTAAAAACCTCACCTATCTTTTTCACACAATTTGTAATTCGATAAATCTGTATTATCATATCCTTAAATTTTACTTTTTAATAACATTTTGGCTTAAACGGTCTAAATACACACAGAAAATTAAGGATACAAAAATTTTAAAAAATATATATATATATAAAATAAAAACAAGAAGGCTGATGCCGAATGTGCTGCTGCTGGCAGCATTATCACTATCTCAATGGAAGCTGATTGAAAACAGATAATTAAAATCTTCTAATTAGGCGGCATGTTCACGCACACACACAGGCCGTACCTTAACCACTGTCGGCTGTCAGTGGGAACAAGTTCATAAATCTTGCGTCCAACAAATCGTTTTGCAACATGGTAGAACACATTACACACACACGAGTCAGCAGCAGCAGCCAACAAAAGACCTGGCTGGCGAAAAAAAAGCGTCGCAAAAAGTTGGCCAAGATGCGGTTGCTGCTGCTGTGTGACAAAGTTGGCCAACGTTTCGGTGGCCAAATTATGGTCGGAGAGGGGGGACGGTAGATCTCTTTTTAAGATTCGATCGCATAAGCCCCCGCTTATTCCACCTGGGACTGCTACAACTGAAGAGAGTTGATCTTTAAGGGAAATGGTCTTACATTAAGATCGTTTTCTAAATTAAAATTCTTAATAATTAACTTGTGTGACTTGTTGTGACTTTAACATATTTTTATAAGATTTTCAGTAGTAAAATAAAATGAGAAAATTATGGATCCTAGCAATCCGTGACAAATTGTGACAACTTGTCAAATTTGCAAGTCCCGTAATAATAAATATATATTCTACTATTTCATTCTGTTTTGGGGCAGCAAGATGTAAGCATCTCCTCTTCATTTAATTTTGTAATTTATTTTTTATAACCTTTTCAGTTAAAAGCATAGCTTTTTTTTTATTAATTTTTTTTTTTTAAGTGTTTGCCATATCTTCCACTTACCTGCTAGTGGTCTTCTGGGATCGATTCCTACGAGTGTTTGTGTTATTTTTTCTTAATTTATTTAAAGGAAATCATTTCTAAAATTACATTTATTTTTTAAGGTTTATTTTCATTTCTATTTATTTAATTGATTATCTAATTTATTATAAACTTTCCGGGTAAAAGCATAATTTATATTTTTATTTATTTTTATATATTTTATATTTTTTTAATTTTCTGTGTTTATGTAGACTTTGTGTGCCTTGGTCCTGATCCTTTTGTGTGGATACCAACTCCTTTTGTGTGGATTCCAACACCTTTTTCTCCAGGTCCCGGACCATCTGCGTAAGCAGATCATTGGCTTAGGCCGGCTCTGCTGGGGCTTCCATTACTAAGGCCTTTCCTAAAAAAAGGAATTTATAAGAAAATTAAACAATTATAATATATTCGATTTTATTTTAATTACGTTACACAGAGTAACTATTTTGTTGCTATTTTCTTTTGGCTCCGACATGGTGTCTTCATAACCTGTAGATCGATCGAACACAAGGTCATCGGAGGGGCTCTGAATTTTTTATAAATTTATCTAAAGGAAATCATTTTTATTTGTTTTTCTTAATTTAATAACAAATTGAACAAAAAATTGTTGGTGAAATATTTATTGGTGAAACAAGTACGAAACTTGGATACGTCGCAGCAAATCACCACTCTGGTTTAAGTCTGTGATTGGGGTTGTTGTCCGTGCTCTTCTTATAGTCGATGTAAAAAATACAAAATTTACATTTAAATTAAAGTGAAAAAAAAACGTTAATTTCAAATTCGAAAAAGCTTTTCTTAGCCAACTTTTATTAGATTAATAAATCCGACTGCTAATTGTCAATTAGCATGCGAAATTTAAATTACAAATGCAAATGCAGAAAATGTTGGCAGTAAAATTTTTACAATTTTATCTTATTTTATTTTGTTGAAGACAATTTATTTATCTAACATCGCGAATAGAAGACAAACAAAGAGAACCACAAACTGCAATGGATGATCAAACTATTCTGCGAGATGTTTTAGAGAAGTTCTACTCATGGAATATTTTTCTGTATTTTAAGTTCGTCGAGGTTGGACCTTTCATTTTCAAGCATTAGCTACACTGAAAATTATTTTCTGATATATCTGCACGCCCTTCAAATAGGTTTCCGCCAGTAAAAACTCGTCGTGATCATGCAGCAAAACCGGAGTGTGGTTCATGGGAGAGAAGCCCAGGGCTGGAATGCCCGCATGGCGGATGTAGCGACTATCTGTGCCGCCGGGGAATACTTGCAGGTTGATCGACAGACCCCTGAAAAAATAATCATAATAAATAACTAAAAATTGCCTTTAAAACAAGTCAAAACCAAAACCCACAGCTCATCCGTGGCACTCTTGAAAGCCAGCCAAAAAGGATTAGAAGCGTCCGTGGCCGTTGGTGGAATGTGTCCTTTGTGCCACTGCGATCCGAACTCAAACTCAATATCCCCGCCAGCCTCTGCACACCATTTGTGGAGCTGCCAAGAAGAGGTTTATTATACGTAAAGAATAAGGGTTAAACTCAGACCCACATTAGCCTCGAACTCGACGATATCCGTGTCCAAGGAAAGACGGCAATCAAAGGTGGCGGTCATATAGGGCGGCACCACATTGCTCTGGACTCCACCGTTTACGGTGGTCAGATTAATGGTGGTCACATCGCCAATCTGCAGCTTGGGATTGTCCTTCAAGCGTTGCACCTGAACAGCCCTGAGTTCCATCATCTTGCTTATTATATAGCTCAACTTTTCCCCTGCGGTATTTGGCATCAAGAGCAAACCATGTCCGGCGGATCCGCTGATTTTGAAAAATAAACCTGGTGAGGGGGACTCGAATTAGTACTGAGAACTATAGACTTTTAATTCTACTTACGTTTTACTGTTCGCTCGGCATAAAAAACAGGAAACTCGGCGGTGGGTGAAGCTATTCCTTCGTCCAAGCTAAACCCAATGTTGAGGGACCTAAATTCCTCGGACTTCACAAAGGGTTGCATTCCGTTTCTTCCGCCAACTTCTTCATCTAAAATGTCCAAGTATTTGCTTTAATATTATCTAGAGTATATTAATTCCTCTTACCTGGCACAAAGGATATGTGAATGGTTCTCTTCAACCTTAAGCCACTCTTTTTCAAAGCTCTTATAGCTGCCAGATATTGCATTCCCACACACTTCATATCCTGCGCTCCCCTGGCGAAAATTCGACCCTCTTCATCAATATCTGCTCCGAATGGAGGATGCGTCCAGTTTTCGGGAAATACGGGCACCACATCCATGTGGGAGTTAAGCAAAATGCTGGGTAACTCCGGCTCGAGACCCTCCCAGGTCAAAACCACCACGGGATTCTGCTCATTGAGTGGATAGAAAACCTTGATGGGCAGATTCAAGCCTTCAGCCTGTCGTTTTAGGAACTCAATGCAGGGTTCTAAAATATAGGATATAATTTATTAAAAAAATTAAATTTTAATTTGGTTAAATACCCACTGTAATCCGGTTCTGGATGCACACTTGGTATCCTCAGATACTCCCGAAAGTACTGAATCTCCGCATTGGTTTCCCAGTTCTTGGCGCTCATTGTGTGGCTTTCAGAGGTTCGGTCAAAACTAAATTTAAACCCAGGCAGACTACTGAATATATTCTATATCTTTACTTTGTTTATCAGCAGACAAAGGTTTTATCTCAAGGCATTTCGATCGTAAACACAAGCGATAGCTGCTGGGAAAGGTTTGACAAGACATCTCATTTTAATCAAGTCATGAACGCTTTTATTCATATTATAAAAGTTATCATGAAAAACTCCGAAAACCACAGAAGACTGGCAAGATTAACTAAGTGTTTGCTCATGACCTTCTTTATGACCTCAGAACTTTACAGTACTTATCTTAAAATAGGATATAGTCAATATCGTTTAAAAAGCATTTATTTTATACCTTCATTTACTGTAACAATATCAAGTAATAATCGCATTTAATTAAGCATAAACAAACAATTAAAGAACCATTAATAAAAAGACACCTAAACATTTGCCACATTGCTGATAATTTTCTGATATATCTGCACTCCTCTGAGATATGTATCCGCCGTAATGAATTCATCGTGATCATGGAGAAGCACGGGAGTGTTATTCATGGGTGAAAATCCCAAGGCAGGAATCCCAACTTGACGAATATATCTGCTGTCAGTGCCGCCAGTAAAAATTTCAGGCTTGATGGAAAGTCCCCTGAAAGATAGGAAATTTGAAAATAAACAAGATATCTGCTAAATATCATAGTAGAGAGTACTTACAGCTCATCGGTGGCTTCCTTGAAAGCTAACCAAAAGGGATTACTGTCATCGATGGCAGTGGGCAAAACTCTGGGTTGTTTTTGCTCATAGGTGATCTCTATGCCACCACCCACATCATCACACCATTTGTGGAGCTGTGGGAAAACAGAAAAATATAGAGATATATAGAAATAAGTCTCATATATCAGATTAACCCACATTCGCCTCAAATTCCTGATGATCCACATCCAAGGCTAGTCGACAATCAAAGCACACAGTCAGCAAAGGGGGCACCACATTGCTCTGAACTCCGCCATCAACGCGGGTCAAGTTAATGGTGGTCACATCCCCTATAACCAGTTCAGGATTATTCTGCAGCCTCTGGACCTGCAGTTTCCGGAAGCCCATCATCTTGCCAACTATGTAATTGAGTTTTTCTCCTGCGGTATTGGGCAGCAGAAGCGAGCCATGGCCGGCAGTGCCACTGATATGGAAATAGACACCTATAAGTGATAGTTATATATAATTAATATAAATATTTATAACTTTTTAAGATTATTTAACCCACGCCACACAGAACGCTCTGCATAGAAAACAGGAAACTCCTCGGAGGGTGATGCCAAACCCTCATCCATGCCAAAACCCACATTCAGTTTACGGAAATCCTCAGTATGCACAAATGGTCGCATTCCATGTCTTCCGCCCATTTCCTCATCTGAATGAGATATTTTTTAGAATAAATGTTTATGGTGAATAAAGAATCCTGTGACACTTACCCGCCACAAAGGATATGTGGATAGTTCTCTTGAATCTGGCACCATTCCTTTTTAGAGCCCTTAAAGCTGCCAGATACTGCATACCCACACACTTCATATCCTGTGTTCCTCTGGCAAAAATGCGACCCTCCTCATCGATATCTGCTCCAAAGGGAGGATGTGTCCAGTTTTCAGGGAACACGGGCACCACATCCATGTGGGAGTTGAGTAAAATGCTGGGTAACTCCGGCTCGAGACCCTCCCAGGTCAAAACCACCACGGGATTCTGTTCATTCGCTGGATAGTAGACCTCGAGGGGCAGTTCCAGTTGTTTAGCTTGACGTTTGAGAAAATCCAAGCATGGTTCTGGAGAGGTTATCATAGATTATCATCATTATATATTATTAAAACAAACTCATATTTAAGTGTAATCTTATCTGGTGTTTACACATTCTGTTGGAAATATAAACCAAGACCTTCAATATTCGTTAATAAAAAAAAAAATCAGAAAATGTTTTCAAAAAGACATATCTGATTTTGTTGTCAAATAATTTCTACAAAGAATAAACTAAAATCCATCTCCTATCTAACAGATACTAACCGTAATCCGGATTGGGATGAACACTGGGGATGCGCAGATACTCGCGGAAGTACTGGATCTCCTCATCCGATTCCCATTTGCTGGCCATTTTGCTGGAACCCACTGGATACTATAATATAGCCTACGATCCGCTTTGATCGAGAGCTGACGGCGCACTGACTTGTGTTAGCTAGTGTCACTTCCATCTCCATTTGCCGTGCCCTACCGCCAGCAGTCCAGTAATAGACTTATCTCTCCACGATCGTAACGCCAACGCGCGCTACTGATAATTTTATCAAATTGAGCATGAGCGAGAATTTTGGATGGTGGCAAACGAGTTTACACCAATGTCGCTGGGGGGATTACTTGCCATGGAGTGGGTTATACAGTGGTTATTCAGGGGACAGTTTCAATTTAATAACATCATGAAGTATTGCGGTTATTGAGGGCCCTCTGTAGGCACACGGTGAGGCTTGTCCCCTCGCCGTTATCGTTGAAAATTCGTTTATAAATGTATTCTAAGGTGGGTCATTAGCTTGCATTATCTGTGTCGTTCACGTGAACCATGATCTCTAAAGCTAGAGTGCAACTTCGAATGCGAATACAAAATATACATACTTCATTTATTTGTTACATTTACAATTACATCCATACATCGTGGCGTGTATGTACATCAGAACTTAGGGATTCACTAGAAACTTATATGCGAAAATACCGAAACACGAGTCACGACGGGCTGCCTCAATCCTTGCGCTCGAACAGGACGGGGAATGGCTTGTCCTTCGGCGCCTGCAGCCAGTTGTCCTCCGAATACTTGACGTTGTTCTCAGTCTCGATCACGTGGAAGGTGTAGGCGTGGCGGCTCTTTTGGGAGCGATTTGGCTCGCTTTTGTGGACGACATTGCCATGGATGAGGATGCAGGTTCCTGGAAATGGGAAATATATTAATAAATAATAACTTATAAAGCTCCTTCTTTAACTCACCCTTGCTGACTTGCATTGGAGTAAAGCTGGACTGCGGATAGATGGGCGCCGCCCGGTCGTAGACCATCAGTTCGGTGGCCTCCTTGTCCGGATTGCGAAGGTACCTCCTGTGTACGCCGCTCTTGTGCGATCCCTTGATGAACTGCAGACAGCCATTCTGCAGAGTGCAGTCCTCGAGGGCCAGCCAGAAGCCCACCGCCGAGTTGGGATCGGTGTGCAGGAACCACGAGTCCTGGTGCGGGGTCACCTCCCCGCCCACACCCGGGTTCTTGTAGATGTACATGCTCTGGCAGACGGCAGGACGGTTGTAGTTCAGCTGCCAGCAGATCTCGCGAACCCTGTTGCTGAAGGTTATGGCATTGAAGACGGGATGCTCCACGTGCAGGGCATGGCCCACTTTGTTGAGGGCAATCATGGGATCCACAAGCAGCTGACCCTCCTCACCCACGGCTCCCTTCTCGAAGAAGTACCGCACCTTGTCGCCCGACTCCATAAAGTACAGCTCCTTGCCCTGGGCATCCTCAGCCTTAATGGTACTGAAGATCTTTCGGTTGGTCTGTGGCGCCTCCAGGCACAGAGCTCGTCCAGCCTGGAACAGGGAATCCACTTCCTCGGGGGTAAGGAAGTCCTCGATGACTATGTAGCCGTTCTCATTCAGCTGGAAGTAGGGAAGCGGGTGAAGGTCTCTGTTAATTCATTATTTAATCTGTGAGTGGAAGCTTATCGCCTGCGCCGTCTGGTCTGGCGGATCTCCGGACAGACATTGTCCAGCCGGACTCGGACTTTACAATCGGTGACTATGGGTATGTTATCGCACTAATTGACCGGCTATGTAATGGGCACGAGCTAATAATTATGAGGTCTAGGGGTATTTGGTATTTGGTTGATAGAAAATGCACTCTGGAAAAATGAGGTAAATGGGCATTTACTGCCCGGAATAAATGGCAACTGTGAAGTGATGCTTAAATAAAAGTAATATTCAAAATATAAACTGGTTAAGAAAAAAAGTGTTTTTAGATGCTAATAATATAAAAAAATATTAGTAAATATCTAGAAACCACTTCCTTAATTTCTTCTTTTTTATAACTATTTTTCCCCAGTGTACCTGTGCTCTTTGTTCACCTTTTCAAATTTTTGCTAATTAACAAATTCCTGTGCACGTCAAAACGTTAATTCTTTCTGACAAAAACCGAGAACCGTGCTCATTCATTGAAATCACTCAACGAAAAAATTGAAAATTTGTACACTTTGTTGTTTTCACTTTTCTAGCAGAGCATAATGGCCAAATAGGCTATAACAAAATACCCTCAAATGCCTTAATATTTAGGCCAAATATTGATTGTTGATTAATCCCCAAGAATTATTCATTTCCTGACAAAAGGGCAATACGATTTCGGTTTGGTAAACAAAAGATAATTATATATATCATCTTTGTTGTGGGTGCTCTCCCTCACTCTCCCGCTGACTCTCTAGTTCTTTGGTGTGTGGTTAAATTAAATAAATTTAAATTGCTTGAGCGAGAAGATTTAAAAATGAAAAGCGAGAGTAAAAATAGTCGCCGTGACTCAAAGGCCCAAAACCCACGAGCAAACGAGTCCCGAACGAGCACACCTGAACTGATTGAAGATTTTCTTTTGGGGGAGGAGTGGATCGGGTCAGCTGTCGATCTGTCGCTAAGAGATCGCCTACAAATACATCATACGCCGTGGGTGCCCACCCCACACAAGTAGGGTGTCTTGTTAAGACTTATGTGTGTGTGTGCGCGAGTGTGTCTTATGCCATTACAAGAGGCGTGTGCATGGAAAATTACCCCAGAGGGTCAGCCACTGCATTCATCACGTAGTATGCTACGAGTACTCGCATGTGTCATAACATGCTGTGCCAGCTGATTTTGTAATCGCTTTCAATTTGATAAAGCCGCTTGTTTGCGCTGTTTGCCTGTTTTGCATTAATTTCGTAATCCGTTTGTTAAATCACAGCTTTGTTGAACTAGAACTTGGGCTTGGCACAAAGAACTGGAATGTTTATTAAATTAAAATGTTTAAAACACTGAACCAATTGAACCAATTTAAGGTAGCATCTTCGAGAAATATACACAACTATATTCCATATTCCTAGATATACTAATAATATTTAACATTTTTTATGAATAATATTTTTTATATTTTTTTTAAATATTTTTAAATTAAAGACACCCCTTCAAATTTCCAGAGTTTTCTTCAGTTTAAATTATTTAATCACAAACTTCATCAGCTCCTTAGTTTCTCGTTCGATAAGAAATTTCCATTCATTTTATGCACAGTCTGAATATTTAATTTAAAACTAGCGGCTGCCTCTTGACAAAAACCAGTTGGTCAACCAACGAGTCTAGACCATAATTAAGCCACATTTTGTGACTGTAAATCACTATTATGAGCCCCACACTCCGTCCAGAAACAAGTCTGGTAATTGGAGTTCTTATTCTGTTTATTGTTTAACCAATTTGGTCAAAAGTCTACGGAATCCAAAAACATTTCCTCAATCGGCGAAGCTTCTTTGCTGCTTTGTCTGCTGCAAAACAAAAGAAATGCTTTTCCGCAGTTGAGTTTTCCGAGCCAACGAAATGTTTATGATTCCGTTGGTTGTAAATAAACCGATGACACTGCGGCACAACTCATCCCATACCAGGATCCGGATGACTAACTAAGAGTGCTACCAATAAATAATACCATAATTCCGAAATAGATTCACGTAAAGAGGCCAAAAGCCGATCAATGGAGCGATCAATCGATCGATCGAATAGTACCCACCTCGTCCAACAATTTGCTGTGCATCTTGGCTGTGTGTGTGTGGGTCTGTTGTTCTTTTGAGTTTTGGAAACTAATTAATAAAATTCTACTTTTATTTTCGATTTGAAAAAGGCGATCTGTCGAACTTTGTTTGGCTGCTTGCTGTGTTATAGAACGATTTTATTCCGCAGCGATCGAGAGAACGTTTCACACTGTTTGGCGTGTCTTTTGAAACTGATCGGTAGAGAAATTTTTGAAAAACGCTTGAAAATATCAGGCGGAAGTCAGAGCGGGAGAGGGCGATCGAAAGGGAAAGAGAGCTCCCACGCGACGCTTAACCGTTACATATTCTATATAAACATACACTCGGAGAAATTAATTGGTACAACGTTTTGTTTATATTTTAAATATTAAATAACGAAAAATATAATTAAAGTTATTTTCCCTTGTAGTAAAATGTACTAAATAAATATTATAATTTTTCCTATGAACTTTTTACATGTCTTGAAAATTATGTAATTAATTTTAAATGGCTGTGTTATAATTTATTAAGTGGCCCTATTTATATAAATATTGTTGATATATAAAACATTCATTTTTTCCCCATATCTTAATTATTATTATATGTATTATTACAACTATTCACTATTTTATTTTTTCTATATAATTTTTTTTAAGATATTTTTTTTGTAAGTTTTACCAACACATTTCTTTCTGTGTATGCTATCTCTCGCGCAATTCCTCGCTCTCACGCTGTTAGCTAACAGCGAACTGCTCTGTTAACGTTCAGCGCGTGTAGCTTCTCTGCTCTGCTGGTTTTATTCATATTTCTTGAGTTAGTTTGTTTCTTTATCAGCCTTAATGTGTGCCAGTCTAGCCATTGACTTTGATAAATAAATATGACTTTAGTTTGTCCACTGCGCTGGCACAATTTACTCTTCTGGTAAATTCTGGTCTTTAAATGAATTGTATATCAACTCTGGCCCGCACTTTTTCCATTGTATCTTTTACTCTAGGGACACGTGTGCCGGCTTTGATCACTGATCATCAGTCGGGGGGTCTTCTTCCCATATGTCTGCAACTTTTTGTTTATTCACAAACATATGCAGATATGTACATATGTACATATGTCTGGTATTTTCACTGAGCATGATTTGGTCATATGCATAGATGCACTTCTGTGAATTTCCCAATACACTTGGAAGAATTTAAGATACAAAATTGACTTGAATATGGTAAAATATACACTAAGAAATACAGTAAGTAAAATATTTTATAAAAACATAAAATTATTGCAATTTGGGGTGTTGAAATATTTGTATTAAATTTAATTTGCAAAAGTCTTATAAATTTAGTCAGAAGCTGGAAAAATCAATGAAAGAGCTATTTCCGACCTTATAAATTAAATATATTCTTAATCAGCATTAACAGGCAAGTCTTTCTTTCCATGTTGAAAAGAAAAACTAACTTTTTCAAATAGTTCAAAAATAGCCAAATATTTTATTTAATAGTATATGTCTTCCTAACATTTCCTGTACTTTATTTAAGGTAGCTAATATTTCTCCCAGTGTATTTAAGACCGTCTGTGTGTCAGTTAATTACCGTCTGTGCGTGGGCCGCTATTCGTTTGTATTTTTTTCTTCGTTGGACTTTTGTAACTACGATTGCCTCACCAGCTTTTCACGCTGCGCAAGAAATGTATGCAAAACTATTGTTGCTCTGCGGCTAATTGCAGATGCCTCAACAAAGCTGGGAGTCTAGGCTAATTTATAATTTTAATGTAATTACTTAGTTTTCGGAAGCTAACTTACTTTAGTCAGCCAATTAAGTGTGTAGGTTTAAAAGTTATTGCGAAAGATTAATCAAATTATTGTAGAAATTAACTTAAATTTAACTAAAAGATAACAGAATAAGCATTTATTTAAGATTTAATTGAAATACAAGTATTGACTTTAATTTGTTCGTTTATATATTTTTTATGTCTTATCGGAGGTCATTTAATAAATATTTCTATCTAATGTATTTATTATTAATTTCTAGATTAATATCAAACGAATTACTTTGGGCTAAGGGAGACTTTTATTTTATGTATTTATTTAATGTCAACATACATTTATAAATGTTAAAATTTTTAAAAATGTTCAATAGTAAAACATATTTTGTAAACCAATAATTTTGGCACTATAACCCCCTTTAGTAACTTAAATAATACAAGTTTCAGCTGACTGAGAAATGCAAATATGCTTCCTTATTTGATTTTCTCATAAGTATAGTTTCAAGCCTCAATGATTATTGATTTTGCTATAAATTTCCTTGACAACTTAATTCCGATCTTGTTGGCCGCAATGTAAATACACAAATATTTACACCTCTTCAATGCTGTGCCTGAGCCCGACAGTCAGCATATGCACAAACAAAGGCCTTAAGTGCCACTTTTTGACTGCACCTCCTCGACCCGGCCATTCGGCATTCATCATCATCCCACTAACCCAAAGGCAGCGACTGGTAACCAAGTAACCAAGTAACTGACTAACAACCAAAGCAAATGCCATAAAGAGTCGCCAAATGAAAATGGCAAAATGATAAATAAGCATGCAGGAAATTTATGCCAGCCAGCGAAAACAAATGGCATGTGGCTTTGACTTAGTACCGAGTACTAACTTTTGATGCTGCAGTCGCATTCGGATTCGCATTTATTGCAGCTTCACACAAGATTAATTACACGACCGTCGGCCATAAATAAGGCAGACAAATACAAGCAAATTACACAGAGAGAAATTGGTGAAGAAGCATTATATGTTGAGGAAAATCATTGAACTTGATAAGGAATATTAAGGGGTTTGTGTTTCATATAAAATAAAATAGAGGTTAGTTATTAATGAGGTTGATATGGAAAAAATGCGTTTAAGAATTTATCTTAAAAATTTATTTATATTAAATAATAATTCTTATTAATCATAAAAAAAATTTTATATGATGTTAAAAACTAATATACGTCTTGCTTAGGTTTATAAACATATTTAAATCTTCGTAAAATGAATTATTAATAAACAAAAACTATATTTTTAGTCGGAAAATATTGTTCAAATTTATAACCAATTTCTTTTACGTTTTTTTTCCCAGTGCACTTGCAAATACAAAGCATAAAAGTAAGTGCATGTTGTAAAATTCAAATTAGAAACCATTGCAGAGAGGCATCGGCATCCACATCCACATTCACAACCAAGTCCACATCATCAAGATTCGCGGTGACCTTGAGGCGCCGAAGAAGAAGACGCAGGAGATGGGGGCGTGAGGTGTTCAGGTGGGAAGGGGGCAGCAAGGTGTTCGCAGGTGAACAATCAAGTCATAAACAATGTGCAGCCAAGGGGCTCCGTCTTCGGCTGCGGCTCCCACTCCAGCACCCTCCCCCATCAACAGCTAGCCATCCTCCAACCAACGATCTGCCGGCCAAGGTCATCTCTTGGTTCTTCTTGTTGACTTGAGTGCGCGACTAATTAAATTAATTAACATTTGAGGCACGCGATTGGCCTGACAAAACAAACAAACTGATAACAAATTCAGCTTGGCTTTGTTCACTTCACATTGTGTGTTTTTTTATAATTTTATTTCGGTTTTTTTTTGGGTATAGAAGGTGAATGTTATTTTCGCTTTTGCTGATGAGTCTTGCGGCTGATTAGAATGTGCCCCGTCAGCGGATCATAAATTAAGCTAAGCTGCCTTTCCAATTTGCATACCCTGTAATTATCGCGCCCCAAAGTGGATCTGCTCATTATCATAAGCTGGTCGCTGGTTAGACCATCAAATAGTTGGAGTGTGAGGTCCATTAAGGAAACTGCATTAATTTTATATTATAAATTATAATCAGTGTTTGATTGTGTTCATCTGTTAAAAGTTTTGAAGGATTTTATTTTATAAAGCATAAAGCATAAAGCAAAGGGTATCACCCTCTTCGGTTCGTCCTAGGCCCGCTTTCTTTTCATGATTATTTTCCAAATAGGATGTTAGCCTCAGTGATTATTTTTATTAATTCACTTTATTTATTTGGGACAGGCCCCCCATGCCGACTGGAACGATTTGAGCTTGACCTTAGCGTCGTTTTTTTTTTTTTTTTTTTTCACTGAAAGCTCTTTGGTTGAAGGCGATCTATTCGACGATATTTAAATGCATGATGCAAGTGAGAGGAAATGCTGATGGCGGCGAGACAGGAAAGGGAAATAACAACGATCGCAGTCGAATAAATAATGCACTAGATGCGAAACAACTTTCTCCGCACCCAAAAGATGATCAACTGCTCCGAGTTTTCTGGAATTATGATTTTTCAAATGTTTATATGCCCCATAGATGCCATAAATCAACAATAAATTCGCATAACAAAGGCTAATTACGCGACACGGCTCTTGAATCTCAACGTGGTTGGTCGCCTTTGCTTGGGATTTTATTATTTTGGGGATCTTCTATCGGGTTCGTGCATAATTTTTGGATCAATCAACCCGCCGAAAGAGCGGCTTTGAGCCATAAATCTAATGGGCCCCCATGTCGCTTTAGCCATGCAAATGCGAAAGTGGCCAGGAGAAGACCAGCTGGGACCAGCTACCAAAAGTGGTAGCTAAATTATTAATGTTTGTTTGTGTTTTGTGTGGCTATCTGGCTTTTCGCCGTGCTGGTTCGCTTTGTTCCCAATGTCAGTTGAGAAATTAAAAACTAATTTGATGGCAACGCAAATTACGCACGTTGAGGCAGTCCCACACTGTAAAGAAAATATCTTACTTTAAGATTTAGGATATATTTATAAAAATACATTTAAAATAGAATAAAAATGTTTATAAATTAAGAGGAATATATTTGTAATTACTCTGCTTATATGTAATATTTTAAATATAGTTTAAACCAAGGAAATAAGTTTATTTAAATGAAAACGAAGACTGACATGTTTTATTTTCTAGAAATTATTATTTTTTAAAAACCTTTCTTATTCTAAAAATAATTACTAAGCTTTAGATAGTTCATATTAATCCGTATTTTCTCCCAGTGCAGTCTCACCCAAAACCTCGACTCGAGACGGGATTTGGGACCAGCGAAGTGGGTGTGGAAATGGGAATGGAAGTGGAAAAGAGGGCTGGAAAAGAGGCTCCCCCTGATGGCTCCACCTTCGCAGCGAGTTGATTATGAAAGCGTTTTACAAAGGCAATATGATTTTTTGTCCGCTGGCCGGTCTTCAAAGTGAAAGAAGCATTAAAAGCGACCTGAAACATGATGACTTGACTGTTGGTAATTTATACGAAATGTGCGTTTTTGCCTCATTTCAGTGTTTCCAGCATTTCCCTTATAATTACACGCTCCCCATGCATAATCACCGATCACGTTCACGGCAGCTGTCTGCTGCTTGCTCCCCCCTCTGAAAACAGAGTTGCAAAAATTGAAAATAAATAATACAAAATATGAAACGGTTGTCGAGCCACTTAGGCGGAATCTGTTGAAACCTAATTTGAATTTGCAAAAATCATAACGCCTTTATGGAGATATTAAAATCATCGCAACGGCCAGAGGTTATTGATTCGCCGTCTTGCCTTTTGTTGGCTGCACAAAAGGCGGATTATGGCCAGCAAAGCTGAAAAGCTGAATGCAGCCAAAAAGCCAGACAAAAGATCCAACGGGGGCCTTGGCCAAGAACAAAAGGATGCCCAAAACTAGACTTGGATCTCGCCTTGACTTCCTCCAATGTCGCCGCTCTTTGTTGTGGACCCCAAAGAGCGGCCAAAGTTATCTCTCCAATTATCCCCATTATAGAGTGGGGGCCCTAATTGAATTATGTAAGCGGAAGAGGCAAACAGTTAACAAGCGGTTTACAGCCTGACCTTTTGGGCTCTTATTTTCCCTTTTTCTTACTTTTCGGAAGCCTCAGGCCAACACGAGCGATCCCAAAAAAATCAGTGAACTTGGCAGCGGATCACGAATTGCCAATCTGCTTTCTTTCACCTTCGAACCGCCGGATTAATCCATCAACGGCATGGGTTATCTAATCCAATAATCGCGGGAACAATCGAAAGTGCAAAGTAAAGCAGAAAAATAAGGTATAAGAAAAGCGAAAAATAAATGTTTCTTTTATATATTATTTAATCAAGTAAGTGAGATATTATCAACACTTGCCAGAAAAGGCAATTGGCAATCACAGCACTTGGCCAAAAAGGGCATAAAAAATCAATTTGTAGTTAACTTGCGCTTACGGGTATTTAATTTATTAAACGACTGCCAGAGGAAGTCCCACTAATCGAAAGTAAAACCTGTCTGAAATAAATATATAAAGGTGTTTTTTTTTTTTAAAAGATTAACTAATTATGCAAACTAAGGTTTTCTTGAAGAAAAAATAAACAAAAAACGAACATAAATTATTTAGAAATACAAATGATAACAGAAAAGGCTTGATGGGGATATTAATATAGTTTTAATTAAATTTAAAATGTAATACTTTAAAAATTTTATAAAATTCGGAAAGAAAACTAGCACATGGAAACCGAAATTTTGGTACCCTTACATATGTTATATAATCAAAAATTGATCATAACTAAGTTGAAAAAATCATTAATTTCAATTCGGAAAGCTTTTCTGTGTTCGTTTTTAAAAGCTTAATAAATCTGCCTACTAAATTTAAAATTAAAAAAAAAAACAATTTTGGTAAATTTTCGAGAATTTAAACGATGTAACCCCCTATAAAAATTAAAAAAAAAATGTAAAAAAAAATTGTTGTTTCCTTTAAGCTAGAAAGACTTGCTTGTTAATGCTGATTAAGAATATATATCATTTATAGGGTCGGAAATGACTTCTTCACTGCGTTTCTAACTTCTGACTGAAATTATGATAACCTTTAAGGGCATAAAAATAGCTCAAAAATTAAACCACAACATTTCCTGACCTTTTTATGTAACATAAATGCTCTAAAAGTCGATTCCATGAAATCAGTTCATGTAAATGCAATCTATTAACTATTGCGGAAATGCCTGCAAAAGGGAATAAACGCAAATTAAAAGTGCAGGAAGTGAAAAGCTGCATGTAATGCCAAATGGAAGAGACACACAAAAGTGGGTATCAGGCATTCGATATTTGGCGAATCACTGGGCGCCATAATTTGACAAAAATAAATTGCATTAGCAGTGAAACAAGTTCAACGCGCAGAATAACATTTAAATAAATACAAAAAAACACATGAGAGGTGCGACAACGAGTGAACGACGAAAGACAAGAAAAATGACAGAAGGTGCGCAAAAAAGTTTATTTAACTTGACCAAAAAGGCAACGCGTCGGAAAGGCGTTTGAAGTTTTAAAGTTTTTGGCTAACTCAGCGACAGAGCAATAATTATAGCCGACGCTGATGAGACAAGGCAGTAGAAGCAGCACCAACATTGGGTCACAGATGTGGCTAGAGAAACAAGTCAATAAGTTGGTAAGCCATAGAAATAAATTTGTTAAGCTAAAGTTCTGAAATTACCTAGCTTTATTTTATTTTACCAAATTAATTTGAGCAAGTTAATGATTTTCCTTTTACTTTTGGGAAGCTCTTTTATTTATAATTAATCCCAAAAAAGATTTAACTAACTAATTATGTATATACTTAAATTTTAATTAGCTATAATCAGGCAATTAATCAATTAAGCAGAATTTTATGAAGCGAGACGTGTGTCAGAATGAAATTTTTACCTCTTTGAATTTATTCTTTTTTTAAATATTATCTGCAAATATGAAAGCAATTACCCTAATGACAACAAAAACATTATTTAACCAAAATAAATGTAATAAATTTACTTATTCACATAACTAACTATATCAATATTAATAATAACATCAAAGTTAACATTCTCAGCCCAGAAACCAACAGCAAAACCCTCCAACAGAGGCAATAGCAGCAGCTATATTGGTAGCAGCCACAGCTATACATTCATCACAAAACCAGACTCCCAACAGAGCTCTGGGCTGAGGCAGAGCGAGAGCGACACCAAAAAGTTTTTCAACTCGACTCTTCAACGCTGACAGCGCAGACGCAGCGTCGTTGGCGATCAGTGCGGTTTTGGAGTTCATTGCGTACGGTCGCGAGATCCCCAGGCACAATCCCAGGCTCAGTGTGGAGGCGCCCCCCCCTAAGAAGATCCGTGCATCCGTGGAGTTCGTATACGAGTGGCGAGTCGCGAGTGTTGATCCTAGATCCCCAGAAGAGATCTCTGTCTCAAAGTGTGTGTGTATGTGTGTGAAAGCCAGGACAAAGCTTAGGTCCTGCCGCAATAAATCGGAATTATACTAAGGGCAGCTGGCCCACACAACTACCTAATAAAAATAAAAAACACAACAAAACCCACTACACACACTTCACACTCCAAAAACACAAGCTACGGCCACCTCCGTTAGCCATGCTGGCAGTGAAGGATAAACCTTGGCGTATGCTATTTGGCCTATTGGCCGCATTAAGCTGTAAGTACCCCGGGCAATGATTTATAAGTGCCATTGTGATGCAAATTGAACGGATAGAGATGCAGATACGGATTCAGATACAGATGCAGAGATGGAGATACAGAGATACAGATACAGAGAGGAGCCAAAACTAGATTAGTGGCCCGTATTTATGGCCATGCGGGCGCCGCTTTGGGCCCAGACAATGACAACGCCGATATATATCATCTTTTTTGGATCTCGAGTGCGGTGTCAGCCAGATGAATATTCATTAGCTTTTGGCGATCATAAACGCTGACCGTTGAACCGCTGACCAACTCCACAATTGTCCCACTGACTGACTGACTGACTGAATGACTTGCTGGCCAGATGCATTAGCATTTCCACCCGAGATTTGCATAAATTGCTGCCATGTTTCCTTGATACCATTTCGGAGACCTCCTCGCGACTGGAAAAGCCGTTGGGAAAGTAGGTCTCTGGGTTGGTTAGTCAGTGCGAATAATTAAGAGGGTTCACTGGAAACTGAACGAATAGCTTTGGCCAATTAAATAGGCGTTTGTGCATTAATAAATAAATTAATAATATTTTTATTGAAGTGATGGATAATTCTGATGAATGCTAATTGTTACGATTTATCGTTGAATTTTTAAAAATAATGTATTAAAAACTTTGTGTGAATAAATAGAACAAAGTAAAAACATTTTTAATCAAAATTTGAGTTGATTTTTTTAGGTTTGTTAAAGTTTTTAGATATATCTTTTTGTAGACTTCACTACTCATTATCATAAAAAGAAGCTAAATGATATTTTGTGTGTGCCATTTGCTTCTATTTGATTTTGCAACCAAAGCAGCGATGTCGCTTTTAGATGCTTGGCAATTGAACCCAACCAGTTGGCGGGGTTCGCTTGGCCAATAGTTCGAGTGAGTCGAGTGTGCCTGCCTGCCTAATGGCTCCGTCTGACTTCGGCCCGATCATCATTAATAAGCCTGCGATTGCTCGATTGCTTTTAATTACACCTTTGGCATTTTGCATGCGACCGGGGGCTCCGCCGCGAGTCGCGGTGATGGATATGGGGGATCTATGGATTCTGGGCCAGACTAGGCCAGCTAGGCGGAAATCGACTTCCAACTGGTCCAGGTTCTGGCAAACAAGAAAGACTCGTCCGTGGTTTTGGTCTGCGCGAAAATTTGGAGCAGCCGAAGCCATGGCCAATCGGGTTGTGTCAAAAAAATAAAAATAAAATAAAATAAAAAATAACTGCAGGCCATGGCGACCGTGTCGCCCCGACAAACCAAACCATTTGATGGCAGTTTAAAAAAACCAAACGTGTTTATGGCCCATGCAAAAAACAAAGCACCAACAAACACGCAGCCACAAAAAAAAAAAAAAGATTGTAATAAAACACAAATAAATTGAATTTGTACAACAACAACAACAGCAAGAGCTGTGCCGTGCCAAGGTGAAGTGGGAATTTTTTCAAAACGAAATTCGCCAGCCCACAAAAGCAAACAAAGTTGGCCCATTAAAGTCGGCTTAGAACCATTCATCTCCTCAGCAGAATTAGTTCCCATTAAGGTCTGGGGTTGTTTGTTTTGTTGTTTTTCATTTCGTTTGTATCTCTAGTTTTTGGTGTTTCGGTGTTACACGCCCCACGGATTTTCGGATTGTTTTCAAAATTTATTTGCCGTAAATCCGTAAATCCGAAACTTCCTGTGGCCACAAAGAACAAAGGCGGCAGAGAGATAGACAATCCAGTTAAAAGCTGTGACGCACCGTTTGCCTTAGATTTGTGTTTCGATTTGTTTGTTTCGGTTTATTTGTTTGCCTAGAACCCGTTCGTATGCAAATTTAAGATACACTTGGGTGAAATATTCATATTTATATAGGTATATGAAAGTCAGCAAAAGGTAAATAATAAAGCAAAGATTTTATTGATATTGATTAGGCTTTTCTTGGGAAATAAATGTATTTTAAATGAATTATTTACACACTATTGAATCCCTTTATATTTATTTAAGCTATCTACTTTTTAATATTACTTTTTTAGAAAGAACTAAAAGGAAACAGAATGTCTTATTAGGTTTTTGTCTAAGCAATAGATTTTTAAAACCTGCAAGTTTTTTTTTCTGTGTATTAATTAAGTCAGATTGATTTATGTAGATTATTTGGCCAGTGCACGACTAATTAAGTGACCGCTAAGTGGCTGCAAAGACTTTGTGCGTCTTCATTGCCCACTGACTCAGCTGGTGCCAAGTTTGTTGCCTAAGTCTTTTGTTTTTACTGCTCACCGATTCTCATTGCTGTTGTTGTTTCTATTATTGCAGGTTTGGCCAGTTTTGGAGACGCCGCTTACCCGTATTACGGCACCAAAATCGGAGCCCTGACCCGCCTGCATCACGGCGTTTCAGGCGATGTCTATGCCGTGGATTCGAGGACCATTTTCATCAAGAAGTTCAACTACGATGGTGAGGCGCCGGCTGCTTACTTCTATGTGGGCAATACGCCAAAGCCAAGTAACGAGGGTGCCTCCCGGCTGAGGGACGAACGAGGTGGCACCGCCTCGCTGACCCGTCGCTACCGGAACAAGGATGTGACACTGTCGCTGCCCGAGGGCAAAACCCTGCGCGACATCAAATGGTTCTCGGTTTGGTGCGATGAGTTTGCGGTGAACTTTGGTGATGTCGCCATTCCGGCCAATTTGGACTTTCCGCGGCCACAGAAGATCAACGCATTGAGAGGTGTCCATGGAGTGTCCTCTGATAATATTGTGATTGTGGATGCCCAAACGCTGCTGGTGCCGAATTTTAGCTACGATGGCGAAGCTCCAGGTGGGTAGTGGCTTTGGTTGTATTTTAAATAACTGATTTAAAACTCTTAAAGTTCCTGTGACGCATTTGTTAACAATATTCTCACCATAAATGCTTTTGTTCAAGGGGAATTCACCCTGAAGTAAGCTCTTATTGTCATAAAAATAATACCCACAGAATATTATGGATATTATTCTCTAGATCGAGTTTCTTGCCTTAATTATTTCAATTAAAAGCTTGGCAATTATCGGTCATTAAACGATTGATTCTCCGATCTATAAGTAATCATAAAACCTTAATTTGTAGATGCCAAATTCTGGGTGGGTCGTGGACAGCGTCCCACGCCCGAGGGCCTGCGTATTCCCGATGAAAATGGCAAGGAAAATCCCCTTCGCCGGTACGAACGCAAGACGATCGTCCTGACCCTGCCCGAGGACCTGACCATCTTCGACATTGGCCACTTTGGCGTGTGGTGCGAGGCCTTCACCGTGGACTTTGGCCATGTCCGCCTGCCCGAGGGCCTGAATGTCCCGCCCTCGCTGAAGATGCTTGGCATCAGTCCACAGGTAAAGAAGAACGCCAGCCAGATCCTAAGCGAGCTGAAGCGCTGAGCTTCGGTCATCGATCATCGATCATCGATCATCGATCTCTGATCACGGATCGGGTGTAACACTGTGTGTAACTCTATTTATGCAATCGTATTTATTGTTTGAGTATACTCTATGCAAATATTTATCAATCGAATCGAATCGATGAGAGATCCGGCAACACGAGTCGTGACCGGAAATGCCTAGACTGTAAGCTGGATGGACGGCGGAGGAGAGATCCGAAATATATATATTACATATATTTACATACATATACATATGTGCAACACATTCAATAATATATATATATGTGTCTATGTACTACTCACCTGCTTGTTATTTGTGTTTTGTTGTCTTGATCAGCTTTTGCTTGAGCTCTGGGAGCGTCTTATACAAAATGAAAACTGTGTGGGGACCGGATCCTAAATGTTCCTCGAACCTCGTACCCACAACACACACACACACAGAATACGCACACCCCCGCACAACACAAAATACACACACTCGCACACACACGCATTCCTGTGATTTACTAACCCCCAAGCGAAATCCAAAAAATAAATAAACAAAAAACATTTTTCATTTTGTATAAAAAACAAACCATTTCAAAAGCAAAAATCTTTCGAATACAGCAAAACAAAAATGCAAACATTTCGAGTATGATCAAAATTATACATTTTTGGCCACGCTTTTCTCCTCCCTCCTCCCTAAATCCACCACCACCCGCACACACACCCGCACCGCACCATTCCCAAATCCATATCCCATCCTAAACCATATCCTTATCCCATACCGAACCCGATCCAATCGAAATCCTTCCTTAAACGAATCTCTTCCAGTCGAAGCTCAACTGCGAGGTGCTCTACGACGATCTGGCCTTCGAGGTTCGCTGGGCGGTAGCCGGCGAGAGCATCGTGGTCCAATTGGTAGCCAAATTGGGTAAGTTTCCGGGGGCTATTAGTTATAATTGCTAGTGATAAATGAGGAAGGTATTTCGTCACTAACTTTACCACCTCCTACCTGAAAGCCAAGTTGACAATGGGAGAAGTGTGAAAACGGTACGCAGTTAGCTTGGTGTTAATTTTAGTTAATTATTGAAAAGAAAGGCCTTGGGCACTTAAAAAAATTATGCTGATTTAATATTTAAAATTTGAATGTAATAATTGATACACTTATTCCAAGATTTCCTTATTTTGTTTAAGATTTAAGACATTTATTGTATAATTTATTCTTATTTTCTTTATAATTAAAAATATGTAGAGGGTAAAGCTGAAGTTTTCTTCAAGAAACAATATCAAATGCTTAATAGTCTAAAAATTTACTAAAATTTTAAAATGAAGATACTACAATCTTGGAATTCCAAAAGCCCTTACGCCCTGGACCTATCCCATTTGGTGACAAGCCTTCGCCAGAGATCCACGACCTGAATGCTGCATCTGCTGATGCTGCTGCTGCTGATTTATGATGCTTTGACATTTTCTCGAGTACAGTTAGCAGGGAGCAAGAGAAGCGAAGGGGCAAAGGGGTAGGGGGAAGGGGTCTTGAGATGGCAACAATAAAATCCAGTTAGCATCCAAATTGACCGATCAGCAGCAGCAACATCCAAGGCAGCAGCAGCTAAAGCATCAGCAGAATAACAAGTTGCGAATTATGACGACTGGTTTTATTGCGCAACTCGAGTGCTGGCTCCGATGGGTGGACAAGTGGATAACCACAGATACATCTGCAATCTGTGGGCATATCAGCACACTTTGGCCATATCCAGCCACTGGTCTTACTCCCCAAGCTGGGGCAATTTGCAACCGCTAAGAATGCCGACAGGAATTCTCAGCGGGAAAAATAGACTTCGAGGACCGGTTGACCGGGACAGAATTGGCCAGAATTGGGGCGAGCGACTTTCGTTGATTGCGGTGCCAGTGATTATCGGTGCATTTCCCCTAGAATTTATAGATGCACTTAAAAAAATAATGCTCCGTTTTGTTACAATGAGATTTTTAGGCTCTAATTGCAAAAGAAAAACCCACTCACCTGAGCTACATTCCCGCAGAGCCCAACAACTACATGTCCTTCGGCATCTCGCCGAATAGAAACATCAGCCAGATGATCGGCGCCGATGCGGTGGTGGCCTGGGTGGATCCCCAAACGGGCAATGGATTTGCCACGGACTACTTCCTGGAGGGCAAGGCCCAGTGCTCAGGTGGACGTGGTGCCTGTCCCGATACCAAGATCTCCGAGAAGACCAACTCCATCCGTCTGCTGAATGCAGCCATGGTAAATGGTTACTCGATTGTGACCTATCAGCGCTCTTTGGCCGCCACGGATCGCCTGGATCTGCCTATTTCCATCACGGAGGCAGAGTCTGTGGTCTGGGCCATTGGACCGCTGAACGATTACAAGGAGGTGTCCTTCCACACGTTCTACAACAAGCACCTGCATCAGATCGAATTCGGACGCCAGCCCAAGTGGAATTGTCCCCTGCCCGAGGGTGCTCGTCCCAACAGCAACTCCTCCGAGCAGGAGGACTCTGCTCCTGCAGCTCAGAGTTCAACGGGTGGTGCTGGTTATCCCCCAGCTGGAAGACCCAATGTAGAGCCCGAGGAGGAGTTCTATGAGAATCGAGCGGAAGCACTGCATCGCCAGCCACCACAACGGCGTCAGGAAACGGCCATCATCACGCAAAGGAGACCGGTGCCCACGCCAAAGCCTGTCACAAACAGCAATGGGGCCTGGGACATACCAGCGATCCAGTGTCATGAGCCAGAGGATGGCGTGTTCTATGCCCAGATGGGTCCCACCGGAGGAAAGCACGGTTATCCAGCCATCACGGGTGAGTATTACATTATATTTTAATATTTTATATAATAGGTATTAATTCCTGTTTACCTCAGGTCACGTCGGCTGGGGCATTTCCTGGTACATCAATGGCCTCTTGATCCCCGAGATCCATGTGGTGCGCGGCAGGACCTACACCTTTGTGGTGGAGGGAGGCAATAACCCCGATATTCCGGCCAAGTACCATCCCTTCTACATCAGTGACGATCCTGTGGGAGGATACGAGCACAAGCGTGAGGAGGAGAAGAAGGTCAGCACTCATTCAAGACAATATAAGATCCTGTAAACAAAATCTGTTCCTTTACAGGCTGTTCGCATCTTTGCTGGCGTCCATCGTTCCCGATCCGGCCAGGTCACGCCCACGGGCGTGGGTCGCCTCTGCAACTGGACACCGGATGTGGAGGGTCCTCCAGCGGATGACTATCAATCCTTTGGCGCCTACCAACGCACTCTGACGCTGAAGTGCGATGCCGGAGAGCCCGGCGTGATCAGCTGGAAGCCGGACAGGAATACGCCGGACACCGTGTACTATCATTGCTTCACCCATCGCTATCTCGGCTGGAAGATCCACGTGCACGACGCCTGCGACTCGGACGCGTCGCCGGGACTGAAGGGATCGGCCTCCGAGCGGCATGAGATCCGACTGCCTGCGGAGGCCGCGGATCCGGCGCCCGTGCACGAGGACTACGCCGGAGAGGCGTCGGTGCGGCACGAAACCAAGGTCAGCGCCAACGATAATTTTTTATTGAAGCACCAAACCGATTTGATTAAGAACCACAATATGAACGGAACACCGCCCAAACTGAGCTTTGAAATAACGAAATCTTCGGAAATAACCAAACTGATTTCAGATGGCATCCGCGCTGCTGAGGCTCTCGAGGAGAGCTTACTGAGGAACCCGAATCTGAATCCCCATCCCCACCAGAACCAGAACCTGAACCAGAACCTGAACCAGAACCTGAACCCGAAACTGAACCCGAACCTGAAACCGAACGTGACCCGGAATGAGATCAGCTCGCGACCCGAGATTTTGCTGGGCGAGACCCATGCCCACAAGCTGAATGCATCTCCATCCGCATCCCCATCTGCCCCGTCACCTCCCTCCCTCAAGCTGCCTGTCTATGCGACGGGTCCCCATCTCATTCACCATCCCCCGCACCAACTGCATCGCCTGCACCACCATCCGCAGCATGCCCCCCATTCCATTCATTTGCATCATCACAACCTAACCGCTAATCTTCCAGCGCTGGCCCAGAAAACCATCGGACTCTCCGAGTTCCTGCGTCCGCCGCAGAACGCTCCGCTCTTCCATCCGGTAAAGCTGCCGGGCCGCCGTCCCTTTCCCGCTCCCATCAAAAAGGTGCCGGCCTCGCGGCCCATCCTTCCGCAGCAGCATCCGCACTTGCATCCACATCCTGCAGCTATCCTGCAGCAGCCTTCCCTGATTGTGAATCACTATCGCAAGCCGGTGCCGGGTCTGCTGAAGCCCTTCATTAAGGAGAAACCCTTTCCCCTGCAACCTTTGGCTGCCTCGGTTTTGCTTCTCGGACAGCCCACTGAATTGGGCGGCGGATTGGGCTTGAACCAACCCCAGGGAGAGCGACTCAAGCCGAAGGGTAAACCGAAAATCCCAGTTCCCTACGTGGACCTAGAGCCCCAGAGTTCCCACCAGAATTCCGCACACTTTGGCCAGCCAGGCAAGGGGGAGCGGGATGCCAAGCCCAAGGCTACACCTAGTTCCACCCTAGCGCCCAGCTCCACCACAGTCACGCCCTTGGTGAAACGTATCCCGGTGAAGGAACCTTCTCGAGAGGAAATTGCCAATATGCGTCCGGCTGTGAATCAAGGCTTCAAGCCCGACACAGTGATCGTGGAGAGTGGCTTCCGACCCATTATGAGGACCGATGGCACGGGCGTCCAGTTGCCCAAAGAGATTATAGACCAAGTGGCCCATCGTCGTGAAGATCCCGGAACCGAGATTGACGAGGTAATGGAAACGGACACGCTCTTCCTGACCGCTCAGCAGGGCGGAAGTGAGACCCAGAGCTTTGAGCCCATGTTTATACCCTCGCCCCTGGACAGCACCAATGCCTCAAAGTTTTTGAAGGTGAAGATAAAGGAAGTTACACCCACGGCCTCTGCCTTGAGATTACCCTCGGCAGCGCTGGAGCACGCCCTGCCCTCCGCTTCGGAGCTGAGAAAGCCGACATTGGATGAACTCTTTGGCGAGGACATTGACCATGACGATGAGCTGGAGGAAAAGGAGCTGGAGCGGGAGCGAATTCCAAGCGGAATAGAAGAAGATGCAGCAGAGGAGACCACCAAGAAAGTAACCCCAACCACTCCCAAGGAAACAACCACTCGTAAGCCGGAACACGAGTTCCTAGAAGACCTCTTTGGACCCGAAGAAGACGACCTCTATGCCGATGAAATGGAGCCGGAAATGGAGGCTGCGGAGCGTGTGGACACCTACTACCTGCCGCCGGACAATCGAAAGATTCCCCATGCCAGCCTGCCCAGTGGAGCGCTCTACACCTTCGATGGCAAGTCCGTGGTGGACAGCAGCCTGGTCCTACCACCCAAGCTGGATGCTCCCGACAATGGCGGTCATGTGCGACACACCACCTACGGACTGACCCCGCTGGAGCAGCTAGTTCGCACCACGCCCCAGTTTGGAGCCTACCGCGGAGAGTTGCCGGAGGAGTTCCGAGCCACAGAGCCCCAGCCATCGACGGATTATCCTCGTCCAGCTCCGTTCAGTCGAACCTCGACCACATTGTCCGGATTCTCCAGCAGCAGCAGCAGCAGTGGCAGCACCACCTATCCGTACTCCTCATCGCCCGGAACATCCACATCCACATCCATATCGACATTGCAATCGTCATCATCGCCATTGTCCTCATCCTCGCTGAGACCCATCTCCACCAAACTGCAGCTGCTGAAGCCAGTTGATGGCAGGAGGAGCGCGTAGGATCGCAGGATCGGAAATAGCGAAATTATACAAGAAGCTAGCATTTAACCGCCTTTGGGATGTACTCATAACCACGTTACATTTACTCGTAAACCTGTATTAGCCGTAGTTTTCCCTTAACAATTATGATGCTCTTAATTTTAAATGAACGCATGAATTTTATTAGCTAAGCTAAACGATTGTGTTTAAGCCGCATTTTAGTCGTTGTGAAATAAAACCAAGAATTAATCTGAAACAAGGTTGGTTTTGAAGTTAATAATGCAAATATATAAATATGATTTGGGTTAGTAAATGCTATTAAATTTTTGAATTAAACGGCAACTAAAAAATTCGTATTTCCGGCTGGGCGTGGCGCTGCCAGACTTCTCGCTTAAGTGTGACCAGTTCGGTAAAATGTTTAGCAATTCGAAGGAAACGCTGTTCGGGCACACTTTGTCAGCTGCTATTTGTTTTTGTTGCTGAATTTTCAATTTGTTTAATTCTAACAACAATTATATTATGTCGGCGCAATACCAGCGCTTCCTGCGAGTACTTGAAAAGTGGCCAGCGGAGAAATCGAAAGTCGGCAGGTGAGCATTGTATTATTAACGAACAACACGCCTGCACACATCAAGAATGTTCGTTCTGGGCGGCCCCTGGAGATTATCTAATATGTGGAAACTCGTTTTATTTGTTTTAAAATGTTATGACAATGCTATGCAATGTTGGTTTTAATTGTGGTTTGCCAGATTAGCTTCGTATTATGCAAATGTTGAGAAATTTCGCTGATATTTAAGGTGTTTTTATCTGCCGGCAACAAGCCACATGGGTTCCAACAGCTGTTCTTGGCCTGTGGAACGTGAGCTTCGTTCTCCTGTTCTGATGTGGATCGTGGGTTGTAATTACTTAAACCTGGCTTACAGAGCTTACATGGCTCTCATTGTCTTACCTGTTTTACGAACGTTCAGACATTGTGCTAATTATTTGTGGTTAAAAAGATGGCTTCCAAGTTTACTTATCAGCTGGAGCCGCAGGAATTTATTCTGGGCCCTGAGATGTAAGTTTTATAATTTTGCTTGTAATCCACTTATAAATATTCCGATTTAAAATTGGTTTAATTCATGAGATTTGTAATAAAATGTGATCTTTGGATATTTAGTGAAAAAACTCGCTCTATACTAGATTCCAAATGCTTATCACTTCACGTGGAAAAATGGTTTGCCATTAATAAAATAGCAAGGGTTTAGTCAAATTTTAAATTAAAATGTAATTATTTAGTTTTGCTAGTTTATTTTTCACTTATTTCTTTCTTTGGGTTACGTTACGTGGTAAAATAATAAACTAAAAATATTTCTGCAAATGTGGTCAACAACTGGGTTTACTTTATGGCTTGCCCCTCACAGTTGTTAATGTCACCGCCTAACCAAAACCGAGAGCTAGTAAAAGCTTCCAGGAAAAGAGAACAATCTGCCAGCTGTGCTGCTTGGAACGAACATCCGCCACAGAAAACACAAACACACACACACATCCCCACTTCATTTGCCATTGCAATAAAACTTTCTCTCCTCTAAAAGGGATCTCGGCGAACAGATCCGCAAGCAGGTGACCAAGCTCACGAGCCTCGAGAGCGGAGCAACTGAAAAGGAGCTGGACCGCCAGATCGGCGCCCTGGAGAGGCTCTCCAACAACGTTTACGCCAAGAAGTATCCCCGCATCCACGAGTCCACGGCAACTGGCTTGACGGCCGCCCAGTGCAGTCAGGTCTTGAGCTCGGAATTCCTGCAGTATATCAACGAGGGAGCTGGCTCCAAACGGAAGTAACCAAGATGATGAAGCGACTCCTAATCCCCACTAGACTGAGACTGGAATGTTTAAGAAAAAACTCTATTGCTGCAGAGGCGGCTGCAAGTCCTCCTCATGTACCTGTGCTTTGTGACACCGCCATCGAATACCTGCAACCCGTCGCAGGAGGCACCTACTTCGACATGACCTTTGGAGCTGGTGGTCACACAAGACGCCTCTTGGAGAAGTGCCCAGAGGCGAAGATCTATGCCTTGGATCGTGATCCTGTGGCCCACAAGCTAGCCAAAGAGATGAGCGAGTCGGAGGAGTACAAGGGCAGAGTGATTCCTCTTCTGGGCAAATTCTCCGATATACCAAAGCTTTTCCAAGAACATGGCCTGGCCAAGCACTCGGTGGACGGGATGCTCTTCGATTTCGGCTGCAGTTCCATGCAGTTTGACGAGGCTGAACGGGGATTCGCCATCTCCAAGGACGGTCCTTTGGACATGCGCATGGATGGAGGCCTTAGCGAGGGAGTGACTGCTGCCGATGTGTTGGCCCACGTGGAGGAGGGAGATCTCGCCAAGATCCTGCGCTACTACGGCGAGGAGAAGGCGGCCAAGAAGATAGCCCGAGGTTTGATAGACGCACGCAAGTCGCTCGTAAAGATTCAGACCACGTGGCAGCTGGCGGATATAGTAGAGGATATCCTGGGCAGTGGACCCCGGAGGGATAAGCTTCAAAGGCCCTCCCACTCGGCCACCAAAACTTTCCAAGCGCTTCGCATCTTTGTGAACAATGAGCTTAACGAAATCAACTATGGCATGGTGTTGGCCAACGAAATTCTTCGTTCAGAGGGCCGCCTGGTCACCATCACTTTCCACTCGCTGGAGGACACCATCGTTAAGCGTCACATTAACGGGAATGTCCAAGCCGGAGCCGCCAATGCCCTCCCTCTGAAATATTCCAGTCACTTTGCCATCGACGATCCGGAGGTATTGGAAAGCCTGACGCAGTCCAATTGGATGCAGCTTCATCGCCATGTCATCGTGCCAGATGCCGAGGAGGTGGCCAAAAACACGCGCAGTCGTTCAGCCAAGCTGAGAGCAGCCGTCAAAATAAACTAAGAGATATATCAATAAATTTCATCGGTCTAGTGTTCCCTCTCTAAATCTGTTGTACTCTGCCTAATTCTCTAGGCTCTCTGTGTATCGGGTTTGCTCCGCTTATCTGTCCAACCAATTGGCACCTACTGATAAGACGGGGGGTTTATCTATTTACCGGAGTTATTTGTGGTTCTCGTGCATAAATTGTTTGGGCTCGAGGCGATTTTTGTTTAGATTGATTAGGACATGGCTGTTAATTGCCAGGTAGGGGAAATTGGTGGCCTACAGTGGGTTTGGTTTGAGATTTATTGAGTAAAAATTAAACATAGAAATTATATAAGATATGTTTGGGATCCCAAACAGATAGTTTAAGCAAACTAATCTGTTTTCCTTTGTTTAGGGCTTAAAATATTCAAAGTTTAAGTTTTCCTTTTATATTTTTTTAAAAGGAAAATTATGTATGAAGCTTGATTCGATTCCGTGCTTGTACTTTCCCTTTTATACTAACATTAAATAATTACAATTTAAATATATATTTTTTTTATTATAATACAAATTTTTCAAGAATATTTGGTTTCTTTAATCTTCTTTAAGAATTCTTATAGAATTTCTATAATTTATTTTCGAATTCCTTTGAAATCTTTACATTTTATTACCCCCTTCCGCTATCATCTCCATGGTACAATGTATTTTTTATGATCTTGTTGAACTCTTGAGCACTCTTTCAAGTGCTCTCCAATATCAGTAACATTTCGATTTGATATGGAAATCACTTTTGCCAGCAATTTTCCACGATCGAGTAGCCAGGGATCTGTGTGTGTAGGTTTCCTCTTCCAACTTTCCAAACATTTTGCGGTTGTTTTCCTCGCGGAGATCATGTTGTGGCTCTCATACGTCAGCCGGTGTTATTTACGGTTGCCAATCGAAAGATGTGACCCGCGAGAAACCCGAAACCGATAATCTTTAGGAAGGCGGCTGATAAGGGAGCGGGATTAGCAGTCGGAGAGAGGGGCTGACCGGCACACCTAGGCTATAGATAGGAGCGCTCGGCGGCCACTCCGCTCAGTTGCATTGCGCGATCCGAGTTGGCGTGGCTACTGAGGCGGTGGCATTGGGTTTCCAGTTTAAAATACTTTACGGAGCTACACGTTTACGTTTCAGCGGAGAGCGGACAGCAGAGCCGGCGGTCAGGATGAGTGAGGCAAAGATCATATCGGGCACGGCGGTGGCCAAGTGAGTTGTGCCTTCTAGGATCCTAGGATATGTACCTATATACCCAATATCCACCCATTTCCATTGGCAGATCCATTCGCGAGGAGCTGCAAAACGAGGTGGCGGCTATGGGCAAGACCTCGGCGAACTTTGTGCCTGGTCTAAGGATCGTTCAGGTGGGTGGACGCGAGGACTCCAACGTCTACATCCGCATGAAAATCAAGGCCGCCACGGAGATAGGCATCGAAGCCGTCCACGTTAGGCTGCCCCGATCCATCACCGAAGTGGAGCTGCTTGATAAGGTAAGTGGGATTATGCAACTATCGAGCGGCGGGGCACCAAATAAAAATTCTTGGTTTTTTCCTTGCAGATCAACGAGCTGAACGATGATCCTCGCGTCCACGGAATCATTGTGCAGATGCCTTTGGACTGCGATACCGCCATCGATTCGCATCGGATTACGGATGCCGTGTCGCCGGAAAAGGATGTCGATGGCCTGCATACCGTCAACGAGGGTCGTTTGGCCATTGGTGATCAGGCTGGATTCTTGCCTTGCACGCCCTGGGGCTGTTTGGAGCTGATCCGCCGCACCGGCGTGGAGATAGCCGGTGCCCGGGCTGTTGTCCTGGGCCGCAGCAAGATTGTGGGAACGCCCGCTGCCGAGCTGCTCAAGTGGGCCAATGCCACGGTGACGGTGTGCCACTCGAAAACCCGCAACATAGACGAGATCACCCGAAGTGCAGATATCCTTGTGGTTGGCATTGGCGTGCCCGAAATGGTCAAGGGATCGTGGATCAAGCCCGGAGCCGTGGTCATTGATTGTGGCATCAATGTGAAGCCAGGTAAGGTTTTTCTTCCTCTAGTTAGGTTTTTCGGCTTCAAAGACTTTCTCTTGAATTTTTCAAAATATTTCCATTTGTTTTTACGGTTTTCCGTCTGTCGCTTATCAATGCGCTCGACCTCCCCGGGGTGGAACTCCTAACCCCCTGCTGAGATAAGAAATGATTTTGTTTTGAAACACTTTCGGTCCGAGACTTAGTTAGGGCACAGCACTTGATGGAAACAAACAACCGATCTTGACATTCCGAGACTAATCCCCTCCGCATCCTTGCAGACCCCACGAAATCCAGTGGCACGCGGCTTGTGGGAGACGTGGCCTACGAGGAAGCCAAGCTGGTGGCCGGATATATAACGCCTGTGCCCGGCGGCGTGGGACCCATGACAGTGGCCATGCTGATGAAGAACACCGTGCGGTCGGCGGCCCGAGCTCTGGAGCGCCATGTAAGCACCCAGTGGACCCTGCAGCCCCTGCCCATTCAGCCACTCCGACCAGTGCCCAGCGACATAGTGATTGCCCGTGCCCAAAAGCCCAAGGATATTGCCTGGCTGGCCAAGGAGATTGGCCTCGAGGCGCGCGAGGTTTCGCTGTATGGCAGCAAGAAGGCCAAGATCTCGCTCTCCGTGCTGGAGCGTCTGGCGGATAAGGAGGCGGGCAACTACGTTGTGGTGGCCGGTATGACACCAACGCCTTTGGGCGAGGGCAAGACCACCACACTGATGGGCCTGGTCCAGGCTTTGGGAGCTCACAAGCTGAGGAACACCATGGCAGCCCTAAGGCAACCTTCCCAGGGACCCACATTCGGCATCAAGGGTGGAGCCGCTGGCGGTGGCTATGCACAGGTGATACCCATGGAGGAGTTCAACCTTCACCTAACGGGCGATATCCATGCCGTGTCTGCAGCCAATAATTTGCTGGCTGCCCAGCTGGACACTCGCATTTTCCACGAGAATACCCAAAAGGATCAGGCCCTGTATGAGCGATTGGTTCCGCGGGTCAAGGGCGTGCGGAAGTTTAGCGCCATCCAGCTCCGCCGCCTGCAGAAGCTAGGCATCACCAAGACGGATCCTGATTCGCTCTCCGCGGAGGAGTATGGCTCCTTCGCCCGCCTGGACATCGATACGGAGACCATCATGTGGGAGCGTGTGGTCGACATTAACGATAGGTACCTGCGCAGCATAACCGTTGGCCAATCGGCCACCGAGAAGGGATTCTCTAGGGAGACCCGCTTTTCCATCTCGGTGGCCAGCGAGATCATGGCCGTGCTGGCACTATCCCGATGCCTGGAGGACATGAAGCAACGGCTGGCCGATATGGTGGTGGCCTTTGACAAGGCCGGCAGGCCGGTGACTGCTGATGACTTGGGTGTAACTGGTGCCTTGGCTGTTCTCCTGAAGGACGCTCTGGAACCGAACCTCATGCAATCCCTAGAGGGCACCCCCGTACTGGTGCACGCCGGACCGTTCGCCAACATAGCCCACGGTTGCAACTCCATCATTGCCGACGAAATCGGCCTGAAGCTGGTGGGCAAGGATGGCTTCGTTTGCACAGAGGCTGGATTCGGTTCCGATATCGGCATGGAGAAGTTCTGCAACATCAAGTGCCGCACATCCGGACGCAAGCCCAATGCCATGGTGCTGGTGGCCACAGTCAGGGCCATCAAGATGCACGGAGGCGGAGCACCGGTCACACCCGGATCCCCCTTGAACAAGCAATACACAGAAGAGAATCTAGAGCTGGTGCAGAAGGGTCTGCCCAATCTTCTGCAGCACATTTCGAATGGCAGGGCCTTCGGCATGCCGGTCGTGGTGAGCCTGAATGCCCACTCAGCGGACACGGCCGCGGAGCACGAGCTGATTAAGAAGGCGGCGTTGGAGGCAGGTGCTTATGCCGCAGTGGTCTCCACCCACTGGTCGGACGGTGGAGCTGGTGCCGTTGAGCTGGCCGAAGCTGTGATCAAGGCCTGTGAGGAGGGTAACAACTTCCGTTTGCTCTACGACCTGGATCTGCCGCTGGTAGACAAGATGACCAAGATCGCCACAACCATGTATGGAGCCGGCAAGGTGGTCCTCACACCGGCGGCTGAGGAGAAGGTCAAGCGTCTGACCGAGGCGGTAAGTCGAGCGTATTTCCTGGAAACATTCTGGTGACTAATTTGTATTTCCTTCTGACTCCTGTCCAGGGCTTTGGCAATCTGCCCATCTGCATGTCAAAGGTTTCGGGTTCCTTGACGGGCGATGCCAAGATCAAGGGTGCCCCGAAAAATTTCACCCTGGACGTAGAGGATGTATACGTTTCTGCCGGTGCCGGATTTGTGGTGGCCATGTGCGGAGAGGTTACCAAAATGCCAGGTCTTCCCACTCGCCCGGCTATCTACGACATTGATCTGAACACGCAGACCGGCGAAATCGAGGGTCTGTTTTAGACTAAAGTAATACAGGACAAGGGTAAACGCTTCATTCCTGCTGATTCCAAAAATATCCACATTTTTAAATGTATAATTTTTTAGAATAATATCCGAGTTTGGTTTTCTTTCTAGGGATAAGTTTTAAAATATACAGAAGGTTTTGGTGTTTCGCCTTAAAATTTCTCTATAATCAGTGGTTTCTTTAGTTGATTTAAGTTAATTACAGTTTTAAGGGTTTGCGAATTGCGAATCCTTAAGGATCATCAATGGATATGATCGACCCCTTAGCAAAAATAGTCATAACTAAAGTTGGTGTTAAAAAACATATATTTATATATAGTTATGTATGAAAGCATTATATGCTGAAATTGCATTAGAAATGTGACTAATGTCATGATTTGTTGCTTTTGACCGAATATCTACTGGCCGAAACACTAACTCTGTCATCTTCCTTCGCATCACCCTTGCGTATGGTGGAAATAACCTTGAAGTAACGGGACACAATCTGATCCACCCTTGGCCCGATGCTTTTGTCCGTCAACTCCTTTTCTGCGCGCGAGACTACATTCTTGAAGAGACCTCCAGACCGAAGGAACTCGATAAGCGTGTTGCGCTTGAGCCACTTGGAAATACGTTGATGACTGCAAGGCTTAACAACCTTTTTTATCTTGTAGAAGCTCTCGTATCTCTCGTTCATCTTACGCATATGGAGGCAATTCATTTTCGGAATCGTCAAGTTCGGTCGCCTGATTATGTGGTACGGATCGTTCTGCTCTGTAAAGTTGGAGTAACGCACAGCAGGCCAATCGAGGTTCAGAAGGGTGTTGTACAGGTACTTGGGATGTCCCAGAATACCGTGGGCCACATCGATTAGGCAAAGCTGGGGTCCGGGCACAATATATTCCAGTTCCATCTCGGCAATGCGAATGTCTGTGCCTCTGTACATGCGCTTCCCTATCCACAAAATGGGCAGGTCCGCTGGAGGAACGAGCTTTAGCTCCTGGATCAAAGGCGATTCCTGGGCACGATAGTTGACGTTCTTGCTGTTCTTGCCGTAGAGAAGACTACGCTCCGTTGCGGAGAAGACGGGATACTTGTCGTGGGCGGACACGAAGTGCTCGGAGCGAAACAGGCGATTCATTTCCATTTCGATGGCGAAGTACGCTCGGCGATGCATGGCGATCCAGACTATTTGGACGAGAACGGTCAGGAATTGCTCGTGAAAGAACTTGTCCCGGATCGTGGCGGAGATTTTGGTGACCACATTCAGATGGTAGAACTTGGCCATATTTTCTTTGCCTCTAATAATCTCACAGTAGTTGCGGGCCACCAGCATGCGATACTGGGACAAGTATACGGACAAGGTGCGCTTCATGTCGTTGGTCTGCTCACTCTGCATCTGGGCCATCTGGCCGGAGATCTCATCGCGACGAATCAGCACGAACTCGACCATGCGCACGTAGTACTCAAAGTATATAATGAGGGAATGGATCAGTTCATCCACCTGCGGCTCGTACATAAACTGTACAAATTTGTAGGTCAAAAATTCGGGTGGCATCATGTATAGGACCAGATCTTTTATATCTTCGATTATAACGGTATCACCGTCAAAGGTGCTCTTGGCTCGCACATACTCCTGCCGGAAGATAATCTCCTCCTCCTGGTCCATGGTCCTCAAGAACCTGTACCCGTTGGTAATGATGTATCGCTCCCTGGCGTCTTCTAGATCATTGTGCGGTTCGAAGTGGAGACAATCTTTCTCCGCGTTCCAGGACCACTTGCCGCTATAGTATTTCGGAACGTAGTTATCCACATGTAAGCGTTTCATTGTTGTTTTGTTGAGAAATGATGTGCTTGTGCAATTGTAGTGTTCGTATGTATGATGTTCTCCAGACAAAGTTTAGTTCATTTGTGACTTCCCATTCCCCTGGCCGGCTTAACCTTTTCTGACATAAGATATCATGCCATGGCGATGGAATCTTTCATAGCATCGAAGTTTGTCCTGAACAAGAGGTACATATCTTGGTTAATTTTACCATTTATTAATTAATAATAAACTAAATAAATCTTAGCTAAATCTTAACTAGCTGAAAGTGTCATGTTTTAATTAAAACAATATCAGTTTATGTCCGAAAAAGTCCGGAAAAGAGTCATATTATATATAAACTAAACGAGATCCGGATGACGCGCCTTCTGAGTAAAAACTTTGTTTGCCTTGAAACTTTGAGGGAAATTGTTTTATATTCCCACAATAAAATATTTTGGGACTATGTATACAGACTGGATATATAATTGCTGATACACCATAAGTGAAGGAAAGAAACTTACCAAGGAGAAGATGACGATGACGCATGGTTAAAGAAGAACTTAAACCATTTTGACTTATCAAGGAAATTTCTCGCTTATTCAATTTATATATGTACATACATATATACACATGAACATGTACTTTATCATTGTTCGATAAAAAATAAACGGCACACACAATACATTTATTTTGAAAAATGCAGTTTAGTTCCCTTCCATCGGTGGCACAGTTCGCAAGCTCGAAATAATGAAGTCGGTTGTTTTCGTTTTAATTCTTTGGTTTTCCTTTTCGGAGGCGCTAAAACAGTTCTCAGTGAATCCAGACTTATCATTAAACTTTAATAACACTCGAACCGATTGCAATGGATATTGTTTCTCAGCAATGCAGACGTTTCTCGTTAATCTCGTAACATCGGAACACGCAAAAAATATCCGCGGTAATGTGAATATTACAGAGAAGGTTATGGCCTCCACCATAACCGATTTGCAGACTCTACTACAAAATAAAGACAGGCAAATATATTTAAATAATGAACAACATATAAAATATATCAATATGCTAAGAGAAAATATCGGACTCAAAAACCAAGAGATCATACAATTACAAAATAGACTAGAAAATCTGACGGAAGATATAATGGTCTATATGAATGCATCTTCACGTAAAGATAGTCAAATCCAGGATAATATTGAACAACTAAAGTCCAAGGATACACAACAAAATACGCAAAACTACGAAAAAATCAAAGACCTAATTGAACAAATCAATAAAACAAAGGAACAAGAGATCATAAGTTTACAAAACAGACTAAAAAATCTGACGGAAGTTATAACGAACTATAGGATTGAAACTGCACGTAAAGATGGTAAAATCCAGGACAACATTGTAGAAATCAATGACCTAAAAGAACAGCTTAAGGACAAACTGATTAACCAAGAGACTTTGCAAGACAGACTCGACAATCTGACGGAAGTTACAACTACACAAATGAATACTAAAGATACTGAAATTAAAGACCTAAGAGATCAAATTAAGAGCACACAATCCTTATCAGAGAAGCTAAACTTAACAATTGATGAGCTGGCAACATACAAATATACAGAGCAATGTCCAAACTTTACAACAATTACCTTTTTTCAATTTAAAATTCGTGGAATAAACACATTTCAAGCTAGGTGCGCTCCATCCGGATGGATGGTCATCCAGAACCGGTATGACGGAAGTGAAAACTTTAATCGCTCGTGGAATGAGTACAAGGAAGGTTTGGAGACATAAGTTATGAGTTTTTCTTTGGCTTGGAAAAATTACACTTGATGACAGATGCACAAACTTATGAACTCTACATTTTCCTTAAGGATAGCAACGGAAACACTAGCTATGCTCAATACAGCGACTTTAAAATTGGCAGCGAGGAAGAATCCTATCGCCTGAAATCGCTTGGGAAATATTCGGGAACAGCCGGACCAGCACTAGATCATCTCCTTCAATCTAAGTTCTCCACATTTGACAGAGATATATCCCATATTAAAGGTTGTGCACACAGTAACGGTGGTGGATGGTGGTATAAAAATTGTGGCACTTGGTAATAAAAATATATATATGTATATTTTGTTTAATAATTATTTAAAATTAAAAAATTTAAATTACAGCGCTCTCAATGGATACTATTTTAGAAAACCAAAATCGGAAGGCAAACTCAAGTTCGACATTCATTGGGCAGGTTTCCGAAGATTCGACTCAAATATAACTCTTACCCAAACTCTAATGAAGATAAGACCGACGACCCTATAGAAAGTAAATAAAAAATCGAATAAGATTTAAATGTATTCAAAGACAGATAAATAAAATTATATTATTATTTTACAATGCAATGGAAACAACTAAGATACTATATGTTCATTTTATTTAATTAATTCAAACTAAGTAGTTGAATGTGACATATATCATGTTATTTAAGCTCTAATAACACACGCCATTTAGTTTAATATTTGGTATTTTCAAATCCTTCCCAGTAGCAACCTCATAACTCTCCCCTTTCCACCTTGCTTATAATATCAACGACCCGATCATTGATCACGGTCTTCATATTGTTGCCCCATACAAAGTTGATGTGATTGAAGCGCTCGTCGTGTAACGATCAGGCTAGATGTTGAGGCAAGATTCAGACGCACGCTAATTTACTCGGCTATGCTCGTCGGCTATTGGTGGTGGTGGTCTTGCCTGAATCTCGCGATGGCCTTTTGCAATCAGTATCTTACTAAATTTTTGCGTGCCGCGACGAGAAGGGGGGAAGGGAAATCAAATAATCACAACACATACGGACTGGCTACTCCCTCATTAACACATACTAAGGGCTTGGGATCCTCAGATGTTGTCGAGGTCCCTTGTCAGCCCTCCCTACCTTGGCCATCTAATCCGATATTACCTATACTTTCTTTTGATGACCCCTATAAACCATTGCTGGCTCTACTGAGGCGGCATGCTGGTGGAGGCGAATAAATTAAATCTTTTTAAAACATTATAAAAGGTGATTTATTTCCTAATTAAACACGAACATATAATTGAGACATTGAACATAATTTAAATAACGGTATAATAATAAATAAATAATGCTAAAGACTACCAAATTTCCTAAGTACACTTAAACCTTTTACGTATTAATTATTATTGATGGACTTTAATATATCTTTTTTTTTTGTGTGGCGAAGACAGGAATAAAAGTGACAAAAAAATTGGTTTAAAAACAATTATTTCGGCTCATTTTAGTCAGCGCACAGTGGGCTAAACTGAACAAAAAAACCTTGGCAGATTGCCTTGCCGATCGATGCGATATTTCATTAATTGTATAATTCTCTGTGTTTATTCTTTATTTTCTTATGTGTTTGGCGACATGCTTAATACGGCTTTTCGTTTTACTTCTTGGAGAATCCTCCACTCTTACTCACTCACCCTTGTTGCAGATCCACCGGCGAAAGCGCTTTCGACGAGCTAGCTGAAACTAAGGGGGGGAAACAGGAAGACAAAGGTTCGCCCTAACACACATGAAAATTTATTGTCGACCACATTTAATCACTTTTTCCCTAGCTCACTACTTCATCTTTCTTTTTTTTTTTATTGTAATTAACAAAAAAAATGTAAAAAAAAAATTTAACTACCACTAAATTTATTTAATCACTAAAATTTGGCTGCGATAACTCCGATCGCGGCATTGGAAAATCTTCCCCGGATTTCCGAAGGCGCGCTCCGCGGAATCAAATTTTTTTGAGTTGCGCTGGCGGTTGCTTCGATGTAACTGTTTCAGAACCGCGGAGCGGGATAAAAACCAATAAGAAAGAATCGCCGCTAGTCGCCGCTCATCCCGCTAGTTTTTGTTGTTGCTGCAAATTTCTATGCTTCTATGCTTCCCTATGCTGCTTCTATGCTGGCTATGCTCCGACCCAACGAAAAGAAACCAACGGTGAAGATTCGGGGGCAAGGGGCTGAGGGGCTCCTCCTTTCCCTTTTATCGCGCGCTGCTGCGTTGGCGGTGTTGTTGGGATCTGTAGCTAAGTTTTAGGCGGTTGGTTTATGCTCCGCTACTTTTTTCCATCCAATGAGCGCACTTTCTTCGCCGAAAAGGTGGGGAAAAATTGGGCTTTTATTAAGCGCCGGGCCCTGTATAGATTTTTTTTCAATTTTAGTATACTTTTTCCTTATTATTTCCTTTTTTTCCACAACTCACCCTGGGGGACTCAGCGCTGAGCTTGTTGGGGATCTTAAAAACTGGAAACCACTTTTCCTTCCTAAGACTTTTATTTTAACTTCTTCTGGTTTTGGGCAGCGGCAACGCGTAGGAAAAAAAATCAGCTTCCACTCGCGTGACTTTTCGAACTTTTATTTATTAATTTTATTTTTTTGATGTCGAACTTATTCGCTCAGCTGCCAAAAACCAAAAGAAAGCGGACTCCGTCTCGAATCGCGCGGGATCCCTCTCCCTAGCTCTCACCCTCCTTCGGGTCGCAGCCGATCGCTGACACATGCCCCTGTTAGAGGTGAGTTTCGCCCCCTTAGCTCCGCTCTGCACCCAGATTGGAACTGCGCTGATACTCCCTAGATGGCGCCAGGGAAGTATCTTTATATTGCCCATGCATCAGGCGTTACAGTCGGGTATCAGGTAATCGAGGATCACATTCGGCAATTGGTTCCGCAGTCGCACCACATCAATATCCGAGGTAAGACGATCGTTTTTAGCGTAGTACAGGGCCACCTTGCAGTCCACCCTGGAAACGTTGTACTGTGGCGGTTTCACGGCGCCATGTCGTCGCAAATTCTCCAATTTATTGTAGTAATCGAATTTGAAGAAGCCTCCGCTGTGGATCTGCTGGCCATAGTGCTCCATGGACTTGATGGAAGATCCTGCTTGGGTATGGCCCCGGAAAAGCGGCACGAGACTGGTGTTGAACTGCTGATAGTCCACGCCCATGATCTCCATCAGGACGAAAGTGCAGGTGTTCTGGAAGATAAAGCTGCAGAGGCGATGGAAGACCTTGCGCTGAGCCTCGCTCTTGGGGGGAGCTTCATAGATGCCAAGGGTTTTAAATAGTATCTTTGCCATCTTTATAAGCGTTTATGTCAACCCAATTCAAGTCGCTGGAAACGGGATTAACAGCCCAGAAAAGCCAAATTCCAATGGCTAGTGAGCTTGTTGTTAATTTTAAATTCAAATTCCGAAACATTTTTGCCGTATCCACGAGTTAAGGCACAGCTTTAGTCACTACAATTTGCAGCATGCACGTTAAGGTATTAGGAATTGATTTAAAAAGCAACGTTAATCACAAATTAGACATGCAAATCCTCAGGCAAGACAAGTGTTAGTTATTTTTAAATCATGTTAAAGTGTTACATATCTCATTACTTTTAATTATAGAAAGGTTTTGTGTAAATTATTTACAATGGGAGTTATAAACTTTGCTTGTTTAATAATTTTTACATTATTATATAATTAGATTAGAATTTCTTTTATTTTCCAATTATATTTATCACATTTAAACACATTTAATTGATGTAACATTTGCATTAATACATAGTTGATCCTTTTTTACCTGAACCGCCTTCATTAAGTTAAATAAGACATCAAAATAAAGGTTAAAGTAAGCGACGACTGCTAGGCGATTGCAAACTATTGCGAGAAGTACCAGTACCAGAACTAACCTCTCCCTCACTTTTGCGTATTTTAGAGATTCTCTTGAGGTAGAGGGACACAATCCTATCGACCATTGGCCCAGGTGATGTACTAGCCAGTTCCCTTTCGCAGCGCGAGACTATGTTGGTGAGGAGACCTCCCGATTTGCTTAACGTAATCAGCATTTCACGCCTCACCCACTTGCAAATATGAAAATGACTGCATGGATTGATCGTCCATTTTAGCTCGTAAAAATGCTCGTAAGTTTCATTCGCAGTGCGCATCTTGAGCTCATCTATTTTGGGAACCTTTAGATGTGGTCGTCTGATGATGTGGTACGGATCGAACTCTTCGGAGAAGTTGGAGTAGCGCACAGCAGGCCAATCCAGCTCCAGAAGGGTGTTGTACAGGCGCTTGGGATGTCCCAGAATGCCGTGGGCCACATCGATCAGGCAAAGCTGGGGTCCGGGCACAATATATTCCAGTTCCATCTCAGCAATGCGAATGTCAGTGCCTCTGTACTTGCGCTTCCCTATCCACAAAATGGGCATGTCCTCCGAAGGTAGAAACTTAAGCTCCTGGATCAAAGGCGATTCCTGAAAGCGATAGTTAACATTTGTGTTGTTCTTGCCGTAGAGAAGACTGCGCTCCGTAATGGAGAATACGGGATACTTGTCGTGGGCGGACACAAAGTGCTCGGAGCGAAACAGGCGATTCATCTCCATTTCGATGACGAAGTACGCTCGGCGATGCATGGCGATCCAGACTATTTGAACGAGAACGGTCAGGAATTGCTCGTAAAAGAACTTGTCCCGGATCGTGGCGGAGATTTTGGTGACCACATTCAGATGGTAGAACTTGGCCATGTTATCTGTGCCTCCAATAATCTCACAGTAGTTGCGGGCCACCAGCATGCGATACTGGGACAAGTATACGGACAAGGTGCGCTTCATGTCGTTGGTCTGCTCACTCTGCATCTGGCCCATCTCGTCCGAGATCTCATCGCGACGAATCAGAACGAACTCGGCCAAGCGCAAATAGTACTCAAAGTATATAATGAGGGAGTGGATCAGTTCATCCACCTGCGGCTCGTGCATAAACTGTACGAATTTGTAGGTCAGAAATTCGGGTGGCATCATGTAGAGAACCAGATTCCGTATATCCTGTATGTCCACGATGTCAGAATCGGAGCTGGTTTTAGGACGCATATACTCCTCTCGGAAGATGAGCTCCTCCTCCTGGTCGATGGTTCGCAAAAACTGGTACCCGTTGGTACTAATAAACCGCTCCCTGGCGTTTTCTAGATCGTTGTGCGGCTGAAAGTTGAGACATTCTCTTTCCGAATCCCACGACCACTTTCCGCTTTTGTACTTGGGCGCATAGTTATCCTTATGGATGCGCTTCATTTCGATTATTATAGAAAAATCGCGTATAATAGGTTTATAAATGTTATAAAAAGATTACAAATTAGTATAAAGTTTTTAAAAATTTTTTTACGGGGTTTTAGAAGTTTGACATATGTATATTTTTAAAGGCGAAGCTTTGAGGTATGGCCTTTTGAAAAATCTGACAGGAATATAGGAGATATAGTGGAGTCAAACAATATTCTTAAGATAATCTTAAGACATTTATAATAAAAAATTAAGATCCATACCTCTTCCTTAATTAAATTAAAAAACCAATATGAAAGAGGGCAATAAGAGAAAGGGCTTGAACTAAGCCTATTTAACATCTATACAAGAGGATTATGATTTTATATTAACTACAAAAAAATCTACACTCACCCAGAACTGGATATTCTGTCAGTATTCAGTTTCGGAAAATAAAAACAAAACACTTGGCCAGCGGGCGCCCGGTTCACGTTGTGTGGCAGCATGTTTCGGCGCAACATCGCACATCCGGTCATTCGACAGTTTATCCTCCGCACCGCTGTTCTCAATTATCTGGGCAAGTGTCTGCAGAGGCAATGGAGCGACTGGAGTCGGCTGAATGCCCAGCTCACCAAAACCAGACGCCTTAAGGACAAAGAGCTTCTGGGGGAGGGGGCCCGGCAGAAACTCGCCCAGCTACAGTCGAGGGCGGCCGCCTCGCATCGCCTATTGCAGCGGGAGTACAACGAACTCTTCAACTACATGATGGACAAACGGGATTTGTGGGATAGTCCGGAGTACTTCAAGGCCAAAACGGCGCTGGGGACGGCCAACCACAACCTGTTGACGTTTGTACCCAGGAAACGAACGGACTAGAGAGAGAGTTGCCAACTCCAAAAACAACTTCCATTCCATAAATATCTATATAAATATATATGTGTGTATATACAACAGCAACAGATCCAACAGCGGCCTAACTATTTGTAGAAGGGAATCTCAACGCGTCCGGACTTCGTGTTGACCGCCTCCCAGCAGGTGCAGGCAAAGGTGGAGCGATCCATGTGGTCGGTGTAGAGCTTTCCGTCCAGGTGATCCATTTCGTGCTGGGCGATCCTGGCATTCCAGCCGCTCAGCTCCAGTTCGCCTTGTGCCCCGCTTTGGTTCAGTCCAGTGAGTTTCACACCCTCGAATCGCTCCACCTCCGCGGAGAATCCTCGCACGCTCATACAGCCCTCGGGATGCTTCAGTTTTGTGTAGTTGGTCACAGTCAGCACGGGATTGATGAAGACCTGGAGAGGATTACGTTCAGATATATACCATTGTGTAAATTTTCCAGCTCACTGTCAGTGGCAGCTCGGACATCTGTCGGGATTGGTACACTGTCTCCGGGAGAGTCTTTCGGATTCCCCCCTTGAACTCCATGGCTATGATCCTGAGAGAAACTCCAATTTGGGGCGCCGCAATGCCCACACAATCGAACTTCCTCAGCACCTTGACCATCTGCTCCACTATCGCCTCGATCTCTGGCCCGCCTATGTGTTCCTGTGGCACCAAGGCAGCCTGTTGCCGCAACACCGGGTCTCCGATTTGTGTGAAGTGATTATAGGGCGGCAGGTTCGTCCGCTCCGTAGTCCACAGCTGCTGGTACCACTTCCGGAAGGACTGACGGGAAGCTGGACTCGTGCCCAGACAGCGCCGATTCACCAGGATCGATTTGCATAGTTTTATCTGGTGTTTCAGCAGCATTTTGTGTAATGTTTGGATTTTAACCTCTTTTTCGGGAACAGCTGAGCGGCAGCCGATAGGGATTGTCAATCGTATATCGATAGCAGGGGTTTCGGTTTGGCGCGGAACCAAAGAAAATCGAGTTTGAAATTAAAACAAGAAAGGAAGCTACTAACTTAAGCTCGCCCAAGTATACCCTTCCAGTTTGCAGGTGGACCAGAGGACCAAAACAATAAGAACTAAATTTAATAACTAAACCAAAAAAGCATTAATCTCAAATCGGATTCTGTGTTAGTAGTTTTTATTACAAATAAAAGATTAACAAGAAAGAAAGCTAACTTTGGCCAGCCAAAGTTTGTATACCCTTGCAGGTAACAATTAAAATATATCATAACTAAGCCAAAAATGCATTAATTTTGATTCGGAAAGTAGTTTTGTGTTAGTTTTTATTAATTTAAAAAAAATGCATACCAAATTTAAAATTTTAAGAAATCAAAATTTTTGGGCATTTTTGCTAATTTTAATGATGTAACCCCTTATAAAATTTCGCAAAAATGGGCAAAAAATCGATTTCTTTCTGACATATCTAGAAAGATTCCCTTGTTGATGCTGATCAAGAATATATATACTTTATAGGGTCGGAAACGTCTCCTCCACTGCGTTGCAAACTTCTGACTGAAATTATAATACCCTGCAAGGGTATAAAAATATGATAACTTAATTAAAATAGCATCAAATTCAATTAAGAAACCTGCATATGAAATAACTTTTTCACTGCGTAACAAACTTCGGACTGCAAGGGTATAAACATAATAAAAATGTCTAAAATTCTAGAATTTATATAATTTTTATTTATTTGCAAAGATAAAGAATAAACAATTTTACACAAAACTATTACGTTAATTCCACAGGCAATCTAAAAACACAGCTCAAAGTTCAACTAAATTCTTAAGCGATAAAGCCGCAAGGCCTTTCCCCACTTCCACCTGCATTCTCTTAGGGTTCACTTGTGGAACCAAATGGCAGAGCGACCCTCGGCGGCGTTAATCTGCTCCCAGCTGACGCAGTTGAAGGTGGACACATCCATGCGGTCCACGTAAATAGTTCCATTCAGGTGATCCATCTCGTGCTGGGCTATACGCGCGCTCCATCCCTCAAGCTCCAACTCGGAGGGAGTGCCCAGCTTGCCAATGCCCCGAATCCGAACCTTATCGTAACGCTCCACCTGAGCGGAATAGCCCCGAACGCTCATACAGCCCTCGGGATGCTTGTTTACCTGGCTGCTTATTATCTCCATCTCGGGATTAGCAAAGACCTGCAACCAAATGAATTATGGTGAGAAAACTAACGCAAAAAACTAACAAGAGATAAAGTGTTGCACTTGGATAATGATTACTAGTTCTAGATATTTTATCTTTAGTGTCACAGAAGCTACTAAAAATAAGTTTTCTCGCCTATAAAATATATTTTCTTGGAATAAAAGCTGCAAATATCATTACAAATTTATACAATGACCCTATTTACTTGAGCTATTTGTAAATATTTTAATAATTGACGTTCACTTACCGCCAGAGGGAGTGTGGCCATCTTACGCTCCTCGTAAATCTCCGGCTTATATTGATCCTTTTTGCCCTCGCGGAACTCCATGACGATAATGCGCAACGGTACTCCTACTTGGGGCGCTGCCACTCCCACGCAATCATAGTGACGTAACACCTTAACCATACGCTCCACGATCTGATTGATCTCAAGGCTATCAATCTCTTCTAGAGCAACTTCCTCGGCCACTTGGCGCAGCACGGGATCGCCTATCTGGGTGAAGTAAGTGTACGGAGGAGTGGACATGATTCCGGGCACAAGATGCGTCTCTCAACTGAATAACGTTGCTCGGTCAACTGGCTGGGAAATGCTTTCGGGGTGAGCAGATTTCGGTCCGATAACCTTATCTTTGGAACAGCTGATCCGGCTATATTACAGTAGAAACGATAGGTACACGTTCCGGAAACTGAACTCAACAGAAAGATTTATTAAAAAATGCCACTTTTCAATTTGAATTTTAATTTTAAATACTCAATATTTTTATTTAGGGATACCGAATCACTAAAGCAGTTGGTTAACAATAATTTTGAGGTATTTCCAACAGGATCCCCCCCATAAGTTACTCGAAGTAGTATTCTATCTGGCCATTGTTCTTTGTCTGTAAAATCAGGCTCCCGAAGCGCGAAGACGTAATGCTGACCATGTCTTCGTCATAGCGCGCTCCCTTGCGCAGCCTGTACATAACCTTGAAGTAGTTGGCGATGATTTGGTCCACCGTGAGACTGGGCGTGTCATCGGTCATCTCCTTTTCGCACCTGGACACGATGTTGGTGAGCAGCAATCCACCGGAGCGGTAGAACTGGATAAGCTTGTCTCGCTTGAGCCACTTCTGTAGAATTGCTAAGCTGTGGGGCTCGTAGATGCGGTACACCTTGAAGAAGTGCTCGTAGTGCTCGCTCATCTTTCGCATCTTGAGCGCATTTATTTTCGGAATCTCCAAGTACGGCTGCCGGACGATATGGTACGGATCGTACTGGAGAGAGAAGTTCGAGTACCGGACAGTGGGCCAGTCCAGATCCAGGATGGTATTGTACAGGGCCTACAAGTGGGAAGGCAAGGAATAGTGAGTGATTGATAAAATATTGCTAGCTTTAGATTACCTTGGGATGCCCCAGGATACCATGAGCCACATCAATCATACGCAGCTGTGGCCCTGGCACAATGTACTCCAGCTCTATTTCTGCTATGCGGCGATCGGTGCCGCGGTACTTGCGTTCCCCGATCCACAGAATGGGCATGTCCTCTTCGGCCACGTGCTGCAGCTCCTGGATGAGCGGTGATACCTGGGTTCGGTAATTCACAATCTTGTAGTTCTTTCCATAGAGCAGACTCCTTTCCGCCGGTGTGAATTTGAGATACTCCGGCCGGGTCATCACAAAGTGATCGGATCGGAATAGGCGGTTCACCTCCAACTCGATGACGTAGTACGCCCGGCGATGCATGCAGATCCACACGATCTGTATCATTACGGCCAGGAATTGCTCGTGGAAGATCTTGTCACGAGCCATGTCCGAAATGTTGACAATCTCCTTGAGGTGGTAGTAGTGGGCCATATCGCCCTCGCCCTTCAAAATCACACTGTAGTTGCGCGCCACCAAAATCCTGTACTGGCTGAGGTAGGTGGAGAAGGTCTTCTTCATGTCGATGGTCTGCTCGCTCTGGATCTGGCCAGCCAGTTCGTCGCGTCGCACTAGGACGAACTCCACCATGCGCAGGAAGTACTCAAAGTAGATGATGAGGGCGTGTATGAGACGATGGACCGGCGGGCGGTGCATGAACTCCACAAAGCGGTGAGTGAGCAACTCGCTGGGCATCAGGAAGAGCACCAAATCCCGGATGTCGTTGATAACCACAGTGTCGGAGTCATATGTGCCTTTGTCGCGGACGTAGGCCTGCCTGAAGATAAGCTCTTCCTCTTGGTCGATGGTGCGCAGGAACTTGTAGCCATTGGTGGTGATATACCGTTCCCTGGCATCCTCCAGATCGTTGTGCGGCTCAAAGTGAAGGGAGTCCTTCTCTGCATTCCAGGACCACTTGCCGCTGTAGTACTTGGGCGTATAGTTGTCTACATGGACCCTCTTCATGATCTAGTGTTTAGTGTTTATTTGTTTAAATTTTTTTCATTAATTGTTTAATTGTTTAGCGTGGTTTTTAATTTTTATGTATTTTATATAAGTTGTTAAGGGGTGTAAGACATTTTGTGGAGTAAAATTTGGTTTCAAATTTAGAAATACTATGACAGAAAAATAAAATCATTGATGTCCCAAAAAGCCGTTAAAAGTTCAGTGACAAAGCCCGGCTTTGGCTGGAGAACATCAACAGAACTGCAAAGCTTCTCATTGTTTACGGAAAGCGGATTTCCATTGGCGCGCTTTTCCTATAGCGGCCTGTTGCCTCTTGAATCGCCCGTTGCCCCGGGTAACTGACCAGGTACAAAGCGACCCAAACAGAGAGCGCGTTCTAACAATGTCACTAGACAGGTGAACCACCACCAGCGTAGCGCCCCGAGTATGTTTCTGGATTACAATGGAGCGTTTAGTTCCCGGTGGACGTTCGATGGTGACAGTTGATGTATATGCTAGTGGAAAAAATCCAGAATATAACCCGAATTAGGAATGAGAAATGCGGGACAAAGTGAAAGCCCCAGCCAGTGACAAAAATCGCTCATAAATAATCCAGTGAAAATGAAAGCAAATCGCACAGTTCTGGTGATTTTCATATTTTTGGGCTTTCTGAGCAATTGCAGAGCTACGCAAAAGCCGCAGCTCGGCCAGCCGCTTATACAATTAAGTCACGGTAAGTTGAGCATCCAGCGAGTGAAATTTATTTGTATTAAAATGTATATATAGACTGGGGTCCGATGTGGGAGCCAAGTATTTTGACCTTTAACGCTTCCCTTGGCTTACGCATTATTTTGTGGAATTTTTGTGGTCACCATCCGGGCTAGTGAGTACATCAAAAAATTTGGGACAATCAATATGAGTTAATTGCGAAACCCAGAACTGACCCAAGTGATTCGAGCTGCCAAATCAAGGCAGGTGTACAAAGCGTTCAGGTTAATTGCATGGCCAACACGCAAGCAAATTGTCAAGTTCCTGTTTTCCTTTATATTTTTTTGGGGTCCCTGCTAATCGATAAAGTAAGTCTATTGTTGTCTTTGCGGAGAAGGGGGTTTACCCATTCGAATGCAGCAAAAACCACTTGAAAGTCAAGCATAATTTCTGCGGCGGCACAACTGCATTCGTTGCGGGAAATATATGTTGCCATTAGAGTAATTGATCAAACAAACTCGGAAATCGGAAATCGAGGGGTAACCAAAAATCAAAAAGCAGTAAAGTAAATAACAATTGATAGACCCAAAAAGCAGAAGTTCCTGATGAATCATAATGATGTATTACACTAGAAAGATATATTTATATTTTTGAAATCTGACTCTTTATTTATAAATTTCAAAAACTCAATTATTAACACCAAAAACTACTTCCGTCTTGTTGATTTTCTATGGAAACGGGGTGAAAGTTCAAGAAACTTGCCTGGGAATAATACATATTTATAGTATAGTGGAATCACATGACATTTTCAGACAACACCGATGATGATTATCCAGAAATTAAAGACGAAATCCATTTAGAGGACTTCTTTTGGACCGGCTCGGGCGATGGTCCTCCCGATTTCCTGAAGAAAGTACACACAGGCATAACCAAGGGCAAGGATGTCATTGTTAAAACGGAGACGGTGGTGGCCACGGTCTACGTAGATGGTAACAATGTAAGTTGGACTGTTTGACTGTGCCCCAAATAAGCCGGCTCTTTAATTGCGATTGATATCTAGGAAATTGACATTCCCATTTGCATTGACTGCAAACCGGACGATGGTGGCGGCAACTGGGACATGGGTGGAGGTCCTGGAATGCCACCTCTCAACTACTCCGCCACAGATCGTCGTTACTGGCTGCTTACGGTGATGTCTGGTTTTTATACGGCTAAGGATAATCCCACGCTCGAGGAGAAGCTGGCGCGTCTATATCGTCTGGCTTTTACCAGGTAAAAGTGACTGGAAATTGGCGTTATCTATAATATTTAAATATATTTAATTAACAGACAACAAACCCGTCACCTGGGCATTAATGGAGCCCAACAAATCGAGGGTGTCAATGTGCCAGCACCCCGGGAACGTCGCAAGTCCCTAAACCGACCCACGATGAGACCCGAAACTACAACTGGGTCTCCAGCTGATGATGTAGAAATACTGGACATGCAGGATGAGAACGATGAGCATTATATTAAAAATGTGAAAAGGCTGGGCGAAGACACTGAGTGGACTAACTCCGAGGAGCAGCCAGACCAGGAGGAGGAGTCTCCCGAGGTAGTTTCCAATGGGGTCACCGCCACCCCAACACAACTAACAGGCAGCACTGAAACAACGATGGATTATGGCGCATACGTTACCCTGATCCCTTGGGAGCTTTTACAGCAGAATGGGAAATCGGAAAAGTTGCGGGAAATGCACGAGTCCTTGTTGACTAAGCAACCGCTTGTGCTGCAACAACAACAACAGCTAGAGGAACAGAAGCAGAAACAGGAGCAGCACCAACAACAACAGCAGCAGCAACCACTTTATAGGGACGAGCACGTCAGAGTTGTCATACACAACCTAACGCAAATTAGCGAGGCGGATGTGCAAAAGTGGAGCACGAACACGCAGGTGGAGGGACTCGGCGCCACGGAGGACATCAACTACGTCAACCTCAAATTGTAAGTACCTCACAACTTGCCGATTTTGTTTATTATTTTGAAAATTCGATTGGGCTATTGAGTGTTTTCTACACTTTAAGAGAAAATTGGAAGGTTGTTTTTTTGGGGTTGAATATTTAAGTTAGTTTTAGTTTTTTAAAGAAGTTTAGTTAGTTTTTAAAAAGAAAAGGAAAAATTAAGTTCAATCTTTAGAATAAAAACTACATTATATATTTAATTATATTTTAAGTTATAAACTCCTTTTTATATAAATTTACTATAATTTTTCTAGCAGCAATGACAGACCCATTGCCAACCAAACGGAGCTCATTTACACTGTCCTGGTAAATGGTCGTCCCATTTTGGCCACAACAGCAGCCAAGGACATGGAGCTGGTTAGTGAAGACGAAGCGGTCAAGACGTTTGGACAGGCCGTCTACATGAAGTCGGAACGTAAGCGAAAATAGGATTATCTGTTTTTAATTCCAAAACTTAAAACCCTTTCTATTTGTAGCCTATATAAGAGAACCCACGGCCACGGCTCTGGCACCGGTTCCACGTAGTGGACAGGCTGGCTTCTTTAATTCGGTAAAGAATAATGTGGCTTTGGTGGTCATCAGCTCCTTGGCCATCCTGCTATTGATGCTGCTTCTTGTGGCTGTCTTACTTCTTGGAAGAACACGAGCTCGTCAAAGGGAACTCAGTGCAGTCAACAGGTGAGTAATTGATTTAAAGAAATAATTAATTAAAAATATGAAACAGAAACAAAATTTATTTCTAAAAATTTAATTTATATTTACCTGTAAGCAGACTAACTTATTTTAAAGTTCAATTTACAGAAACTCCTCCCGCAACGAACTGCTGTCCGAGGGTCAATCGATCCGACCCACAACGAGTGAAAGGACCGAAGGAGAACCAAGCCCAGATCGCCGTTCTCGGGATGTTGGAGTCCGCAACTATTCGTACGAGCGAGAGCCACGCATCAGTTTCCCAGCTCCACCAGCAGAGACCCGTTCCCGTCGTCGCGATTCCGTTTCCTCCTCGACGGACAACACCTCCGACTCCTCGGTTTATTGTCCCATCAACCCGCCGAGTGCCGATGTCCAGCGAATTCTGGACGACAAGGCGGCCCGCTTGTTCGATGGTCACAAGAGGCGGCATCAGTATGATCGAGCCGAAGGACACGAAGAAACGGTTTACACCTCTGTGGTGTCCGAAAAAAAGGGTGACAAGTCCAGGCACAAATCGAGGAGGCGTTATCTCAATGAGAACCGCGTGGGTTCTTTGGAGACAAGTCCCGTCCAGGGATCGCTAGCCGGTCACTCCTCCACGGAAGAGGTGGAGTCGCCGGAGGTCCAGCGCCGTAGCTACGAGAACTTCCAGAGGAACGAGGCCTACAATCCGCACAACAACTACCACAGGAACAAGCTCTTGACCCAGAAGGCCGCAAGTGGAGTAATTTCTCCTGAGGCCATTAACAAGGAGATAGTCGGAAACATGTCCCCGGACACCGCCAGCGTGGGCTCTTTCCTATCCATGGCCTCCGTAAGGGCCTTCCCGAAGAGCGCTTTGCCGGAGCCACTGAATCGAGTGCTGGATCCCGTATTTGTGACCTACTACGACAACGTGAATGCTGTGGCGCCGCACAACTCCACCAGGTCGCTGAGGGCACTCTCCCAAAAGGGATCCAAGGACTCTACTATAGCCACCATAGCCAGCTTCCCGAGCCCCAAGGCACCGCGCACTGTGCGCTCAGCCTCGCACAGCGATAATCCGGATCCCGGCGTGGTCGGTCCCGTCGTGTGGGAGCGGCACAAGAAGAAGCAGAGCCAGGGTGAGCCGGGTGGCGGAAATCCAAATCCCAATCCCAGTCCCAGTAACAACGACAACGACGACGGCAACGACGCCGCCCCCGATGAGGACGATGGCGACGTGCGTTTCGGGGCCAAGTCGCGTTACTAGGACAACCCGTAGTCGTTGATTAACTAACTGTTATTGCTTGCACACACCAGACCCGTAACTAACAACGTAGCTAATAGCGATTGCGACCTATGTTACCTCTCCACCACCTGTAGTCCCTCGCCATCTCGGTAAAGGCCGCTCCCTTATCCCGTACTCAACCTCTCTCTCGAATCGATCTTCCCCAGAGGCCCTGACCTACGCGGACTACCACGCGAGTCCGCTGCACAATCCCTCGGCCATCCGCAATCATTATGAGGGGCTCCTTGAGGGTGCCCTCCAGATGTACTCCAGCCAGGACGACATCCCCATGCCATTGCCCACGCAGAATTTCACCAACAGCCGGCGGGCCACGAAGCGTGAACACCGGGGCTCATCCGCAGGATTGCCTAGGTATGAATGGGACTTTAAATAAGCAAAATAAATAATAAAAAGTCCTGTCATTTTCTAGCTTCCATCCGGAATCAAGCAGTAGAATCACTTCTGATCGCCCGGCCACTGCCCAGCCGGAGAAGACCTCCAAGTCGGCGCACTCCACGCAGCCTCCATCACCGACTTACAGCGCCTGGGGCGGCGGTAGCATGTACAGCTCCCACTCCACCCTGAACCGGCCCCTGAGCGCAGGTCCCATCCACCGGGTGGAGAACCGACTGGACATATCCGGTCAGGCAACCACGGGCACGGGAACAGCGCCCCTTATAGAGGCCATACAGAGCGAACTGCGAAAGTTCAAACAGCAGCAACAGCAGGAGTAGATCCCGCAATTAATGATCTTATATTTGTCATGTCGATGGAATGTCATCCCCCACAACAGCATATCTGTACCAAAAGTGTTTGCAATTCATTTAGAATAAACTTTTCTTAATACCAAAAAGGCATTTTAAAATTATTTTATGGGTTGCATTTGTAATTTAAAAGAACATAATGTAGCTTTTTCAGAGAGTATTTCCAGCCAAATATTATTTAAATAAATTAGTAAAAAAAACGCCATTATGCAGGTTAGGTTACTTGTTTTATTATATATTTATTTACACAATATTCGATTGCCAGTAGTAGTACAACACACAAAGACATTTAGTACAAGCTCTCTCACCAGCCCTTGATTCATTATTATTTTGTATATATTTGACCGAAAAACATATTTCCTTTTTTTTGTATACCCATTACAATATTCAATTAGAAGCGTCCTCTTGTTTATCAAAATTAATTACTACGCTGCGTCTTTGATCGGAGTGAAGTTCGTGTGGGAGTGGGAGTGGTCGGGGGCTCCGGAACCTAGTTGAATTCCTTTTGTCCCTTGGCGTAGGTCTTGGCGTCCACACTGCGCTTGCCGAGCCGAGGGCCGAACCACAACCCCGAGGAGGCACTGGGTCCCGTGCGCTTGTCAAGCACCTGTTGCAAAGCCAGGAGGTGGGCCCACTTGCGCAGCTCGGCATCACCGCCGCGGCCCACGCGCGGAAAGGCCACCAGACCGCTGGCCCGCTTCTGGAAATCAGCCTCTGGAAAATGGTAGGTCCCCGGGCATTTAGCCAACAAATTATGACCACAACTCCGGCTAACGACTCACCGTTATAGTCCTCCGGGGAGGCATCGCCGTAAATGCCGTCGAGGACCGCGGCGTCCAGTCCGTCGCGTAGACTGTTGGCCAGACTGGGATCTCCGCGGCCGACGCGCGGGAAGGCATATAGCCCCATATTGGCACCGCGGCGATTTTTGTCGTGCTCCATTTCTATATATATAGGGATTTATTATGAATTAACTTGATATATTTATTAAAATTAAGATTATTTATGTTAAAATTTGATAAAGAAAGAAATTCATGCTGAGAAAACATATGATGTTTTTAGTAAAAAAATTTAATAAAGAACTTTAGTTAAAGAATCTTGAAGAATTAGAACTTCAAACAAAGGTTTTCCCTTTTTTTTAAAGCTATATAACAAATTTTTAATGAAAATTCAAATTAGTGTATCAATTCTATAGTCTTAAAATATGTGAGAAAGAAGAAAAAATAGTCTGGAAAGCGTTACTGGTACTGGTTTACCTTTATCTTTCAAAGGAGCTGCAAATTATGAGTAAAAACAAAATCAAAAACACTTTATGAGTTTTAAAATTATATAGATATGGTTCACACCGTTTAATTTCATAGTTTCGAAATTGTTTAAACATTTCATTTACATTTTATTATTTATATTTACTTTAACTTTTCTCTTTAAGTCGCCAGTTAAAGAAACTTTCACGCCTTAGACACTCACCTGCCACACTGAACTCTGCAATTAGGACAAACACTAGGATTGCGTTTACCAAGCTGGACATACTCAGCATAGATTTCATTTTTAAACCAATTTTGTTAAAATTCCACAACTTCTTTCACACTGATGATTCTCTCGGAACGGTCACTCGGTCTCTGATTGTCCTGGTCGAAGTCCAGGTTCTTTTATAGGCCAAAATAGGCGTCGCAGAGACAACCAAATAAATTGCCTCAGGGACAACGGGGCGGCTGATGAATGTTGCCGGCGCTGTGGGATGCAAATAGGTGTTGCTAGCAACAGGTGGCCCCCACACTGGCAACATGTTCCGGCAATATGTTTCAGATTCGTTTATTGCTCACACAGACTATGGACCTTAAATACTAACGTAAGTAACTATGCTACTCCCTCGGTGCCGAGGAGGCCGCTTTAGAGCCAACCGGAGATCATGCGACCTGTGACCGTGGATTTTCCGCGCTCTCCGCCAGCTGCGGCGCTGCTCTGGCCCACTTTGATCGCTGGCTTAAGGGGCGCAGCTCCTGGTTTCTTGTCCTTGTCGTCGGCAGACTTCTTATCCTTGTCATCTCCGGGCTTTTTGTCCTTATCATCTCCTGGCTTCTTGTCCTTATCATCTCCTGGCTTCTTGTCCGTGTCATCGCCTGGCTTTTTGTCTTTGTCGTCCCCAGGTTTTTTGTCCTTACTATCGCCCGATTTCTTATCTTTGTCGTCACCTGGCTTCTTGTCCTTGTCATCGCCTGGCTTCTTGTCCTTGTCATCGCCTGGCTTCTTATCCTTGTCGTCGCCCGGTTTCTTGTCCTTATCGTCGCTAGGTTTCTTGGCATCCTGACCGTTCTTCTTGTCATCCGGCTTGCCAGCCCCGTTGGTGGCTTTCGTTCCCTCGGGAGCAGCTCCCTTGGCTCCTGGTTTCAGATCGGAATCTGGTTTGGCACCCGCTGGAGCCGAGGGAGCAGCACTCTTTGCAGCTCCATTGGTGGCCGGTGGCTTGGAGCTGTCGGTCTTGGAGGACTCCTCCTTCTTGCCAGCTGCCTCGGGCTTGGCTGGCTCTCCGGATTTTGGAGCTGATGGCTTGGTGTCTGCTGGCTTGGAGGGAGGAGCCGGAGCACTTGGCTTTTGCTGATCAGTTGGCTTGGCGCCATTACCGTTGGTGGCAGTCTGGGGCTTGGGAGCACCGCCTCCGGGAGGTGGCTTCTGATCCCCTGGCTTGGCACCAGGAGCACCAGGAGCTCCTGCTGGCTTGGAGTCTTTGGGTGGCTGCGACTTGTCTTTGTTCTTGTCATCCGCTGGTTTCTTATCATCACCCGGCTTCGTTATGGTTCCTTCTGGCGGTTTCTTATCCTTATCCTTATCTTTATCTTTATCCTTATCTTTGTCACCTGCTTTCTCGTCTATATTCTTGACGGAAGCTCTCAGGGCTGCTGCTGCCATCATGGAAACTCCGCCACTTGGGGCAGATTTTTTGGACTGCAATTATTTATATTAACAATTATTTAATTAATTACATTTTTAAATTTATTGCTAAAATAAGAAAGAAACTATACCCCAGAGGCATCAAGTGGCTTTTTCTCCTCTTCGCCATTAGGTCCGTCCTCATCATCGGCCAAGGAAACCTCGTCGGCTGCCATCTTCTTCCTCATGAACTTGACGTAGGCCACTCTGGTGGCACGAGTCACTTCGCCCAGGTTGGGATTGAATTCTGGTAGAGATTAGAATTAGTTTATGGAGGTTTTAATAAGGATTAATAAGCTGTTTTCACCTATCAATCGGGTCTGGTCCATCTGGAGACCCTCGTTGGCCTGCTCGATGATCTTCCTCCTCAGACTGCGTTGGCTGTGGCGCTGCATCGACGAGCGCTTGCTGCCAATAGGATCGGCGGCAAAGGTGTTCTTCCTGGCAATGGCATTCCAGTCCTTGTCTCTGTAAAAGTTAATTGGAAAATAACAAATGAAAATATATTTAATATTTAAGATTTTACCCCTTCTGAGTCTTCTTTCTGCCTATGACCTTGGCCAAAGACGAGAAGATGTCCCTTCCGTTTTCATTTTCGTTCATTTCCTGTTTCAGATTCTCCACAAAACCAATCTGGAAGTCCTTCAAAATACGCCGTTCCATCACCTTGCCCTTGGTGGTTCGGGCCACTCCTGAAAGTCAGAAGAGTTCAAAGGGAGTTCCTTCATTGGCTATCGAAACTCCTCCTCACCCTGAGACTTCTTCTCGATGTCGGGAACATCCCAACTGTTGTTGGTAAATATCTCCAGGAGTTCGAATCTCAAAGAGCTTATGTCCTGGCGCACCTCAATGATATCATCCTCGGTAATGCCGTAATCGTCCCGCCGCCGCTGCTCCGCCGTAATGTAGCGCCGCACCAGCAGCTTCATCACTTTGTCATGTAGGACCTGCGCCCGTTCCATGGACTTGCGCTGCGCGTTGGCGTAAGAGACAAGGAGAGAGAGTGAAAGAGTGGGGTTGAAAAGGATGCAGGACATTCGTGGTGTTGACGCACAGCGACCTCAGCATGGGCTTGATTGAAAATGATTTTCTATGAGATTTGTCTTGATTGCTGCTAGTCTCACAGTGACTGAGCCTTAAACTCAGGGATAAAGGATATTTAAGACTTGAAACTTCCCCACAGAAGTTAAATTTTTCCACAAAAATTAACAAGAATATTTCCCAGAAATTTGTAATAATAAAATGGGATTTGTTACTTTTAAATAAAGTAAAAATTCAATGTTTACCATAAAGCTCTTTGTTCGCGAAGGCCGCTTTCTGCCCAGAGTGTTCCTCAGCATCTTCATGTTGGGACACAGATTGAAAGGCGGTGGAATGGTGCCGCCATCCTCGAAGTAGCTCATCCACAGCTGCGAACGGGCGAACTTCCACTCGGTGTCGGCTCGCTCCGAGATGATCTGGTACGAGTTGGACATCATGGCAATCAGCATGTTGAGGAGCACAATGATATTGATCACCGAATAAGAACCGAACATGAGCAGGGCCCAAAACCGGGTGAAACTCTTGATGCCGGCCAGATCAAAGGAGACGAGATCCACCAGACCAAAGGAGGCCCAGAAAAGCGACTGCGATGTTTCAAATAAGCTGAAATATATAGAATATTTTATTATTATTTACTTCTTAGAATTCAACGTAAATTTTAAATCAAAAAAACCATCAACCTACTTGGAAAATCGTCGCCAAATGGTACAGGCCTTCTCCTGGTCATCGAAATCCGCCACATCCGGATGCAGATGATAGCACTTGTTCTTCTCCAGCTCGGCATAGTACCACAGCAGCTGATTCAGTCCACAGCCAAAGGCAAACAGCACCAGGGTGTAGATGAAGAAGAACTTGATGATGTCGATTATCATTCTTCCCAGAGAAACTTGCAGGGGACCCAAATGGGGATTTATAGAGAAGATGTGCACAAGTTTTAGATACGAAAAGACCATGCCAGCGGCAAAGGCGCCCTCCGATAAAAGCATGGGATCAAAGGGATGCCAGTGCTCGCGCGGAAAGTACGGATCTATGCCTCGGAACCAGAGATCGCGCTTTAAATATAAATTAATTAATATTTTAAAATGTTTAATCAAATTCTTAGCTGCCACTTACATGCACTATAACCCAGGCGGTGGCCCTACAAAGAATCCACGTCACATAGAACATATTCGATATATAGTCGACTATATTCCATAGATCCATGATGTACTCAAACAGGCCATCCGAATACAGCGACTTAAGTTCCTCGAATATCAGAGCCATGATGTAGGTTATAATAGCCAATTCTATGGGTCCTGGCAAGGAGCCACGTTCGTGCTTGCGCCAATCCTCCAGCATGGTCAGCATCCAGGGAAAGGCCAGGAGTTCGAAGGTGATCTGCACAACTCTTAGAGAGGCGGCGCCAAGAAGCACTAGAAATAAGTTGTATTAATAAGGATATAAAACCTAAAAGGATATATCTACTCAGGAAAAACATGTAGGAGCAGGAATGTGTAATGAACTTGACAAAGGGCTTGCGCATGAACTTGGCTCCATCGGAATCCGGGGCCAGGATGTACTTCAAACTGTAGAGGGGAAAGCTGCAGCCCAGTTTCACGACATCCATAAGTTGCTGCGAAGCCTGTTTGCGCCGGAAGCCGGGCAGTCCGTCGTACCAAATGGCAGCCAGTAATTGTTGTACATTGGGATGTGCCACGAACTATTAAGAAGATGTAAATAAATAAATATTTAAGGATATCCCACTAATCCCTTCTTAACGTTATCCAAAACTCACCGTCTTCTGCTTATATCGAATGGCCAGCTTCAATCGCTCCAAAGTCTGCCTCTGGCCCGGACACCAGATATCGTGGGACGGCTCATGATTGAAATTTAGCATCACCTCCAGCTCCATGGATGTGCGTGCATGGTCCAGGAGCGACGTTCCAAAGTCCTGCACCATCTGACGCATCTCCTGTTGGGCAAACACAAACAAAGGTCGCATTCGCAGCACTACCCATGCTTACATTGGCTACAACTACACAGTGGAGATGGTCTTGCGTACCGTGTATTCGGCACGGAACTCCGATTCCATGGCCTGTAGGCGCTTCAGTTCCCAGGACAGCTGGAAGGCGGTCAGGACAGGGTCCCGTGAGCTGAGTGCTATCAGGGAGCTGGCAGAGAGCGCCCTGTACGCGTTGATCCTAGACTGGGAGTGGCGCAGGGAGTCGGTGGTCTGCGAGGTCACGCACTCGTCACAGCCGCACCTAAAGGATGGTTCAAAGGGATCTCAATCTAATTTAAATTCTTTCTTAATATTTTTTTCGTTAAATAAACATTCATTGTGCACATATTTCCCCTCAAATTCCGTGAACCTGTATGAATTTTCACCCTAAGTAGCCATTAGTTGGTTATAATTAGAACAGCCCCTCAGTTTCGGACTTTGGAGCTGCACGAGTGCAATGCATGGTGGACAAACAAAGGAACGTGCCGGACGTAGGACGAGGTGGCTCACCAGTCACAACTCTCTACTCACTTGACGTCGTGCGGCATGGGCAGCGTGGCACCGCGATCCAGGAGAATTTTGAGTATCTCATAGTTGTTTCGGTGGGCGGCCAGGATGAGGGGCGTGATGTCTACGGTAAAAGTGGACTTGGAGCGGTCCACTGCCTCCCAGCTCTGGCAATGTAACAATAATGAGTGACCAATTTGCGTAACGTACACGTATGTAACCTACATAAGGCTGGCCCTCCTTGTGGTTTGTCTCCTCCCACTGCAGCAGCTCC